TTCTGGCTGGCATATCTTCCAGGTCACTGATTCTCTCTTCAGTTATATCTAGTATGCTTACAAACTCATTCAGTTAGTATTTCAACCATTATAGTTCTTAGTTCTAGAATTTTCATTTAGTTCTTCTTTTTAAAAAAGTTCTAATTTATCCACCAACATTTTTCATCTTGCCTTTTACCACCTTGAACACACCATCATAGCTTTTTAAAAATTTGGATGTGGGCCAGGGATTTAGCTCAGTGGTTCTGCTGCCTGCCTTGCTAGCACAAGGTCCTGAGTTTGATCCCCAGTACCAAAAAAATAAAATAAAATAAAATAAATAATAATAAAAATTTGATGTAATAACATCAGTGTCTCCTGTAGATGTGTTTCTTTTGTCTGTTGTTTCGGCTGGATTTTGCCTTATCTCCTTGTGTATCTAGTTATTTTACATGGGTTGGATCTTGTAAAACTGCTGTCTGGAAATACTTTGATATCCAGTGTGACACTATCTTCTTCCAGGGAGAATTTACATTTACTTCTGACATGCACATGGGGCCCTAACAATTCAGGTTCACCTCTGGAGAGGTTCAACAGATGCCTCCATGAGCTTGTCTCTCTTCCTGTCACACACTTCTAGGGTGTGGCACTTTAACGGTCCTGATACAGAGCAAAGGAAGTTTGCCAGGCTCTGTGAAAGAGCCCTAGATTCCAGCCCTACCTCCTAACCACAGGAGTCCAAAGCACTACTCAACCTCTCACCTGCTCTTTCCAGAATTTAAATAAACTTCAAGGCAGACAGCCTTAAATGGTGGGCTTCGCACACTAGGCTGCCCTTCCCTGGATTCTAACGTGATCGTTGTTCCTCACCTTATTAGCTCTCTAGGATAAATGCTGAGCAGGGGGAGGTGAGGGAATCGTTGGCAGCAAACTGGCACAGTTGCTTCACAGATGCGTTTTAAATCAGCATCCCTGGTTTTGGCTACCCTTGGCATCTTCATGCTCTGTGCCTGTCACTCCCATATTCACAGCCTCTTACGGCTACTGAGAGCCTCTCTAGGGCTCTACCACTTACTGCAAATGACTCGTCTACTTATTTTCACTCCTGCTCTGTTATCTCATCAGGCCAGGTGTTCGATTACCATCTTAAATCAGAAGCTCTTAACTACCTTCTGGAGGTGAAAATATTAAGACCCAGGAAGACACAGCGGGTGCCCCAAGTCACAGGAATGATGGCTACAAGGCTCAGAGCTGGACTTGGAACTCAGCACCCAGGGTCACGTCATGCTGGGCCTTTTACCATGCATCTTCCTCATCACAGACTTTCGCTGTGAACTTTATGTTTTTATTTATCTATATTAATATAGTGAAAATACAACAATTTAGGAATAGGCCAATGTTCATGCTTATAGAAAACTGGAGGAAAAAGACCATAAAAGCTATACCAATTATTTCATGTTAAGGTGGTAACTGTTACTTCTAAGTTCTGCCAGACCAAATATTAAACATATTTTTTAAAAAGTCAAACATTTCATAGAGCTGTCTTATAAAATCTTTCCTATTTTCATTGAACTTGAGATTCTAGAAGGAGAAAGAAAGTACACATATATTTCCCCACTAAATCTTGCAATTAATATTACTACATAGCTTAGTTGATTTTTATGAATACTTTAAAATGATAAACATTTAAAAACTTATTTCCTAACAAATTTTACTAACATCTAATGAAAAAACTAGAAGTAAATCAATGACAACTGTAAAAACTATTCAAATTAGGGGTCAGGGATTGGGCTTATAGCCCAGTGGTAGAGACCTTGCGTAGCATATGTGTGGTCCTGGGTTCGATCCCCAGCAATAAAAAAAAGAGGGAGAGAAAGAGAAAAAGAAAACAAAAATTGGAGATCAGAATATTTTATTCTGGTTTCAATTCTTCTTAATTCTGTCCAAGTCCCTGGCCTGACATGCACTGTCCCTGTATCTTCCCAATCCTCTAATTTAATAAAAGACTAAGCAATTTTGTTTTTTTGTTTTGTTTTGTTGTTTTGGTACCAGGGATTGAACTCGGGTCCTTGCAAGACAAAGCAATTTTATAAACCACACACTACTGCTAGTATATTTCTCAAAAATATAAAAATACATCTGTCCCCAAATTAGTTTTCTAACGTTACCACAAATTATTGGTTGTAAACAACACGCATTTATTATCCTGCAGCTCTAGAGGTCAGGGGTCCAAAACGTATCCCACAGGACTAGAATCCAGGCATCAGCTGCGTCCGCGAGAATCTACTCCCTTGCCTTTCCCAGCCGGCAGCGGCTTCACCTGTCCCTCGGCTCCTGGCCCCGCACTGCTCCACACTTCACTTATTGCCACCTTTCCTTCTCAGACTGCAACCTTCCTGCCCCTGCTTCGTAGCAGCTACACCGGACCCATCAGCCTCATCCAGGCTACTCTCCCACCTTAGGACGGCTGCCGTGGTTCAGAGCTCCTTCGGCTGTGTGAAGTAACACACGCATGGGGTCCAGGGTTAGGGTGTGGACACCTCTCGGGAGGGGCCGTCTTTCAGCCTTAATGCATCCCCAAGGGTCACTGATTTTAATACACTAACGACAAAAGGGAGTTTCACATAATCAAAAAACAATAAGATGACAATATTTTAATAAGCAATACGACAGGAAATCCAAATCGTGTTGTCAAGGCAGTAGCTAACCTGCTGTTGAGTTTATTTTAGCAAGTCAGTTGATTTTTGATTTTTAAACAGGAATGTGTCATCACCACATTGTTTCCCAATCCTACTTGGTGTCTTAAGCCTGGTGAAGGATGAATATAAAAAAGAAAGAGGGACAAAGGAAGCCAAAATCACTTCTGAGGTTTTTACTTTTCCAAATGAGAACATAAGATAGGAGGATATCAAAACAGCAAGTATCAGTTACAGCTGTAAAGTTAAAATTGCTTGAAGGTAACTATTGTCCTATGGGGACAAATACAACTAATACGATTTTTCAAACAGGTATTTAAGGGCCGGGGATTTAGCTCAGTGGTTCCGGCGCCTGCCTCGAAAGCACAAGGTCCCAAGTTCGATCCCTGGTGCCAAAAAAAAAACCAACAAAACAACACACACAAACAGGTATTTAATGAACATTTACTCATTATTGCTAAGATTCTAGGCATAAGTTAGGTCAGTTATACCAAGAAGTATTAGTGATTCAAAGTCATCAACAAGTCTTACCTCAGTATAAGCAATGAGGCCCAAAAACCAACAGCTGGTAGTGGTCCTGGGCCTACCCTTAATACCCCGTGAGACGGAAAAATCATTGAGCCTTCCTAGTCCTTAACGCAACATTTATACAGTCAGGGTTATAGCAGAGCTCACAGTAACTACAAAATGTACACTATTTACATTACTATTAACCTTCAAAGACAAGCGAATGGCAAGCCAATTGGGACAAATGAAACTCATATTTTAAACAGCTGCCTATCCACAATCATAAAGTGAACTCCCTCAAAACCTCCCTCCCTGTCTTCCTCCTTCCTCTCTACCTCCCTCCACAAATTATCTGGGTCAAATTACCATCCGATCCTAAATAAGAGATGGACTGTAAATCAAAAGAATGTTCTAGTGTTCCTATCTTTCAATTAACATTAAAGTTTCCAATTTGAACTATCCACTAACTTCACAAATTCTCTTGGCACAATACAGTTACGTATAGGTTGAGTATCCCTCATCCAAAAATTCAAAATCTGCAGTGCTCCTAAATCTGAAACTTTTGTGCACTGATATCATGCTCCAACGGTTTTAGATTTTGGAGCATTTCAGATTCACATTTTTGGATGAGGGATGCTCAAGTGGTAATAAAGTCTATGCAGATATGCTAAACTCTGAAAGCAAAACAGAAATCAGAAACAGGCAGATGTGCCCAGGCATTTCAGGAAAGGGATGCCCAGCCAGTACCAGTATGCCATCATTTGGAAACTAAGGCCGCCACTATTCTGGACGTGAGCGGGTACGCCTCCCAACTGCCTCTTCCCCCAGGCTAGCTTCCCTCAGAAGCTCTGGGCTCAGTCCTCTCAGCTCCCAGGGCCATCAACCACTTAGGCCCAAGAGAGCATCTCTGCACCACAGGACAGTTAGAACCACTGACAGGCACTCTCCAAGCTCAGCCTCTCTACTACATGAAACCATAAACTCGTCTACCAGAACACGCAAAGGAGTTCTTTCATCTTCAGTGCCCCCTGCCTACATCTGTAAACATCAGATGCTTAGCTTCATCGGGTTCTTTCAGAGGCAAAGATAATCTTGATTTTATTGACCAAAAATAGAAAGGAAAACAATTTTGTCCAGAAAAATAAGGGATAAAGTTTGGGAAGTGCTGATAACTGTAGTCTAGAAAACATGTGAAGAACTTTACCTTCTGCTAGCCAGTGACGTCGCAGCAGCTGACTGTTTGACCATGCGAGACTCAGATTCAGGGTCAGACTAATGGTTCTGACGTCCTGGGCTGGACACATAGTTGAAGAGACACCAAGGAAGGCGACCAGCCCAAGCCCTGACACAGCATCCCTTCCTGGTTAACCCATGGTGTGACAGTGACACCGACTGGCCTCGTCCTGCCAATGGAGGGCAAGGCACTGCAATGACGGCGCCTGGAAATGAACAGGGGTGACTGGGAATAAAGGGGGGGAAGGTGGCCGTGATGAAGAAATGAACAAAACTCCAAATCCCCATTACACCTCACTGTCATACCTACTATGCTGATATCATAATGACAGGAGCAATGGGAAAAAAAGGAAAAAAAGCAAAAGAAAACCTGCTAACCTATTTAAATTTATGCAGCTTTCTGGAAATTTGGGTTTGTAACCTATAACCTGACCACATATAATTATAGCAAGAGGTTGATTCAATTTAGCTCATTAAGTCTGTAACTGTATTTTTATCATTAGTGTTTCTAAATTCTAATGATTTAGTTCTATGTTTCATTACAGCAAAAACTCAACCTATAGTATTAAAACAGACCATACTTACCAAACAATCCCTTGGGCTCCAGAGCCAATTGGTTTCAACTGCTGGTACCGTTTCAGGACAGTGAAAGTTGAGTCTGCCACTTGCACACTGTAAAACTGACTATCACATTTGCTGTCACTCATGATGTAGTGTCATACAAAATCCCAAGGAGCTGGCACTGCTGACAAGACTCCTGAAAAGAGAAACAGAATGAACGTACATTCTTACGGAAATATCCACTCACAGCTCACAAATTTACTGCAATATAAGCCAATGCGGCTCTAAATTTCTAAACTTGGTTTGACCAAGTTCTGAACTTAAGCAAGACACAAAAATGCAAGACATTACAGTAGTACAAGACCATTACGAAAGGAAGGGATTTCTGAGGCACAACCAGATCACATATTAAGGGACTGGATTAGAAAATAACCATTTTCAGAGAAAAAAATTTATACATCATTACTAGCCATGCCACTAAATGCTTCTCAGCAGTTTGCCTCCTATGGGACCAGCTTAAGTCTAGCAGTCTCAACCAGAGCTGAGGGTATTACTTCAGAACGGCTGCCTCTAGAATCCCGAAGAAAGGCAAACTGACCAGACCCTGCTGAGTGCCCAGATTCAGGCTGACGCGATGGATGGAAAGCAGCATTCATATGCCAGAGTGACAGGTCACAAGGGCTGTTGATACTGCCATGTGCTCTGCATACCGACAGGCCGTCTCATGAAGGTGAGACGCGGCGTGCACCCCTTGCACCCACAAACTCTGCTGTGTGCCCACAATAGAAAATAGTAACAGTACAGGGTTTCTCTACGTGTGGGTATAAACTGGCAGCCACGGGAAGTAGCCTTTCTATGCCTTCGACAGCGGGCTGAAAGTCTCACTGCACAGGACCTTGGATGGCTTTACACAGAAACAAGCAAGCATTCACTTGGTTTCCCAACGCTTGCCTGAGGACATCTACGGAAAAGGTGGCAAGCTGTTTATTTTGTTCTTTCTTTTAAACTAAAAAGCCAAAAAATAAAATCGCATAGGTAAACATTTCATACTGTTTAAAAACAGAGAATTAAATTTTTTTTTCTATAGCTCCCTGAAGTTCCTGCCCTTCTGGTTCTACTATCTAATACTTAAGAGCTGCTCAATGAGTTTTTTGTAGTGATGATTTACAGTTCAACAAAATGGTGTCTAGATTTCCCTTAAACATGAAAATAAATTAATACCCACTGCCCCAGGCTTTTCTCATCAATCTTTTCGAACTCAGGACCTTGCGCTTGAGCTAAATCCCCGGCCCCTCATCATTCTTGAGTGCACCGAACTAGATGCTGGACAAACACAAGTGCCCACCCTGACCCACATCAGTGTCCTCAGTCCCACTTTACCCTGGAGCAACCTAAAGCTTTGTGAGCTAGAACACATGCCCAGGCTGCACAGCTGTGAGGAGCACTCGGAGGCAGTCCTGGGCCAGGAAAGCCAGGGGAGGGGGAAGCAGGTCTGTCTTGGTCACTATGGCATGGAACACTCCAAAGAAGGGAGGGATACTGCAAGAATTCAATAAATCTTCACTAATCTGACCCACACTGCACCATTTAATGATTCCCTATAACACTTCCAGTTTACTGACATCTGTACGAATATCCTTTTCTAAAGATTAGCTTATTTATAGTTTGTCAGCGGCTGACACAAGTCAACACTCAGGGAGTGCTTTTGCACATGAAAGTGCTAAGTATTATAAAGGCACACCTAGGAATCAGTCTTGCGGTAGCATATAATTCACAATTTCAGAAGTGTGAGTAGCCATATTGTACACGAGCCATAAGAAAAACATAAAGGCATACGCACAAGAGACCAACAGGGACAGGTGCATCAGACACGGCAGACTTCATGGAGAAGGCAGCATCTGCCTAGGACTGACAGGGAGACAGCACAGGCAGAGCTTAAGCTGGCTGTCCACACAAAGTGAACTGCTCAGCTTGGCTGGCAAGGTGCAAGTGCAAAGGACTCCACAGAAGGACCTGTCGCCACGAAAGCCTGTTCTACTGGGGGCAGCCATTTCTTTGCCATACTGTAAATATGCCAGCAACACTGGTTGTTTACAAAACACTTACCCCCTGCAGAGGTGTTGTGTGGCATAACACAGCGCCTGTTCCCAGGGAGCTTATAAAGCACATGCTGTGGACACACTCAGGAAGACCCAACACAAGGTGACCCTAAACCCAGAAGCAAGGGGAAGACTTGGGCCATGGGGAGGAAGGGCACACACAGAGGTAGAGATGCACTCATTTGAGATTATTTGCTGAGTAGTGGGGAAAGGAAGATGGAGAGAGAAAACGAGGGCAGATGACCATAGGCTGTGGCAGCCAAGCTAACTCTGCACCTCAGGCTGGAGCTGAGGGATATGGGAGCCATCAGAGCACCAGAAGCACGTGCTTTCCATAGATTATTTGGGAAACTAAGGAGAGGCCAGTAGAGTACCTGGAGCTGAGAGATCAGATAAAAATGACAGGACTGTGGCACGTCAGGAAGAGGATGAAATGCATGGCTTTAAGAAAGGGTTTACATGACTTGCTGACCTGGCCAAGAGGCAGGCTATAAGGAGGAGGTCGATACAGGGTTGGTGAGTTCAGTTTTGGACAGGTGAGTGTGAGAAGCGAAGAGGTCAGCAGCAGACTGTGGCACAGGCTGCTGACACACACGAGGTCCACTCCCCTCCTCGCGTTACTAACAGGTGCCAGCCCGTCCCTCCTGGACAAGTGGCTACAACAGAGACAACACCTGGCAGCTTTCCCAGTGGCTCAACGTGGCCAGACGGTCAATTTCTGGCTGACGAGATATGAGCAGAATGCTGCGTGCAAGTTCCAGATCACGTTTCGTCTGTCTTTATTGAAGCTGCTTGCTCTCCAACGTGTCCTCCCTTGCTGCTTGCTGTCTGAGCATCAGCTGTCCTAGACCTGGAGGCAGAAGCCTCACGCTGGAGATGGTACAGCTGCTGGCCCTCTGGCAGAGCTCCTGCAGACACCCCCATTCAAGACCACTCGCCCATGCTGGGGCCGTAACAATGGTTTTTTTGGGGGGGGGGGTACTGGGGATCGAACTCAGGACCTTGCAGTTGTGAGGCAGGCGGCGGAACCACACTGAGTTAAATCCCGGGCCCAATCAGTTTTAACCTTGCCGAGCAACTCTGGAACTCTCTGCTACAGCTGCTGGTAATCATACTCTTAACTGGTACCATGCTGGGGCAGTTTCATTCAATTTTGAGAGTATATCCAATCATATTAGGTTCTAGAATTATTGATATAATCTTTCACAAGCTGGTAAGAGCTATAAATTGGTAAAATTGTTTTGGGAAGAATATAAGAAACAGCTAATGAAAGATTTAAATGCATGTGAATTCCAACCTGACAACTACAATTCAATAAATGCATCTGCCAAATATATGTGTACAATTATTCAAAGATACATGTGCAAAGGTATCTGCAGCACTTCGAACAGGCAAAAACCCCCCACTACAAATAACTTAAAAGGAACACTGTGGATCAAATGAATCAATTATGGCATAAAAATAAAGCCATTAAATAGAATGCAGGGATTTTATGTATTACTATGGAAAGACGTCTAATACACATAAAGGAAATAAGACTTGTGGACAGAGTATATACAGTAAATTCCAATTTGTGTAAAAATACACAAATACAGGCTCTATGCTAGAAAGTATGGAGGAATAGAGAAACGAGACATTTTCTTCCTATCACATCTTTCTGTTCTGTATTTTTAAAACCACGTGCCCATTTTACATTAAAAAAACTGACCAAACAAAAGTTTAAGTGAAAAGCTGCATGATGATCCTTCTAACAGAGGCGTGGAGGGTGGGTCTGAGGCAGAGGAGACTGGAGGAGCCTGGCACGAGGGACACAGTTAGAAATGCTCGGGCACAGCCTGTGAGGGGTCTGTTACCACCCGCACTGTGCCAATGAGGAAACAGGCTTGGCGACAGTGAGGGAGTCACCTAAATTCCCAGCATGGCCCCAATTTGAACTGAGGGGTGCGTGACTGCGATATTTATTTCCACCTAGCACACCACTCTAATAACTCTAATTTTATTTACAAAGTAAAGCCTCACGTCAAGGGGCCACTGAGGGCCAGTCCAGAAAACACAAACCTTCCCATTTTACCCTACAGCTCCCCTCTGCCAAAGTACTTTTCCTGCTGCTGCTGAGGAAATGATGGTTCAGTGACCCACCCGGATCAAACCTTCAATCACACTAACCCTTCAGAACACCCAAGATGTGCACTATTTAAATGAATCTGCTGTGGTTAAAGGCTCTCATAATTACCCTCTGTTTCCTGAAAATTTTTTTTTTTTGGTACCTGGGATTGAACTTGGGACCTTGAGCTTTCAAGGCAGAGGCAGGCGGTGGAACCACTCAGCTAAATCCCTGGCTGCTCCTGAAATTTTTATTACCAACTTGTTCTTTGTTTTCTACTTTGAGTCTTCTGAAAAAATAGCTTAGCATAATAATAACCTTTCTTTCCTTCCTTTTTCTTTCTGGAGTATTGGGGATCAACTTCACGGTGCTACCAATGAGCTACACCCCCAGGCCAAAATTACTTTGCTAATCAAGAAAGTCACTGGGCCACCTTTCTGAGCATCAGTTCTTTAACTTCAGTCTGCACTGTGATACAGAACAACTAGCATTTACTTACCACTGCACCTTCAGGCAGCCTGGCCTGTCTGCTCTCCCCTCTGTAACCCCCATCCCCAGCTGCGGGTAAGGTCGCGGCCGCACTGCTCCCTGGACCTGGCCACAGCAAAGGCACCATCCCAGCCCCCATGCCTGCTATTCCAAACCACAGCACACTTCAATGGGTGAATGGTTAGATGGCTGTATGTCCACACCCTGGCATACCGCTCAGCCCTAAAAAGAACCAACTACTACAACAACTTGGGGGATTTCAAGGGCATGGTATAGTAGGGCCTGCGTATTCACAGACTCTGCATCTGCCAATTCAACCAACCAGATAAAAAATATTCAGGAAGATCCCATGGGTACCAAGTTACAGTGATACAGGAGCAACTTTTGGAGTGCCACTGCACAGTAGGGTGACTGCAGGCAACATCAAAGTACTGTGCCTTTCAAAAAACTACAAGAAAATTTTTTAAGTTTCACAGTAAAAAAACTAACAAGTGGCTGAGCATGGTGACCCATGCCTGTAATCCCAGCAATCGGGAGGCTGAATCAGGAGGATCCAAGTTCAAGCTCAGCCTGAGTGTCTTAGCAAAACCTTGTCTCAAAATAAAAAATAAAAAAGGGCTATGGACACAGCTCAGTGCAAAGGTCCTGGGTTTAATCCCTAGCAACTGAAAGAAAGAAGTGTCTGAGGAGATACATGCGTCTGATCTGATTTAAATGTTCTATAACACAGTATACATGTATCAAAACGTAATTAATGATACCACGCTAACCTGCAATTTTTATTCATTATGTCTCAGTTAAAAAATTTAAATTAAAAGAAAGGAAACATTTGGGGGGAAATGTACTGGACATGTTCCATACGTGTGCAATTTTTTCTCCATCATTATTCCCTACATTAGATAATAACTATTTACTTTGTATTAGGTATTATAAATAACCTAGAGGTGACTTAAATCTACACGGGAGGATGTGCATAGAATATATGCAAATGTTACCCCTTTGACAGAAGGGACTTCAGCATCCATGGACTTTGGTGTCCATGTGGGGACTTGGAACCCCACTGAGGGACAAGCGTAATTAGTGAACATCTTTGCTGAGACAAAATACCCAACGCCCAAAGCTAAGGGAGGAGAGGTTTATCTGGCTCAGTTTGTCGAGGTTTCAGCTGAGAGTCGGCTGGCTCCACGGCAGTGGCCCGGCAGAGGGCGTCACAGAGCAGTCAGGCAGAAGGGAGCAAGCACTGCTGTCCCTTAGAGCTTACCCAGGGAACCTGGCCTCAGGGCGGGCGTCACTCTTGCCTTTAATCCTAGCATCTCATGGTGAATCAATCCCAGCCTCACGTCCTTGATCCCAGCATCCCACAGCTTAGATCCAGCCAGCTTCGAAAAGCCCCACCTACTATCACATGAGGCTTTGGGGATACATCCGGACAAGCCACAGCAGTAAATGAAGCTAATCTCAAAAGGGCACGTATTGTATAACCCCATATATTCTCGAAATGACAAAGTTAGAGAGATGCCGACCAGAGTAGTGGTTGCCAGGGGTTATGGATGATGAGGGGCAAGGCAGTTCATGTTGCTATAAAACGGTAGCATGAGATCTTTGGGTTGACAAAATAGTTCTACATTTTTTTTTTTTTTGGTACCAGGGATCGAACTCGGGACCTTGCACTTGCGAGGCAGGTGGTGGAACCACTGAGCTACATCCCCGGCCCCGTTCTATACCTTGATTGTGGCAGTGGTGGCAATCTACGATCTCTGCATATGATAAAATGACATGAACTATATACACACGGCACCAGTGCCAATTTCCTGGTTTGATATCACAGTATGGTATGTACATATACAATCTTTGGAGATAACTAGGTGAAAGGTACTGGGATTTTGCAACTGCTTATAAATCTATAATTATTACACAATAAGGAACTGAAAGAGAGATTCGTTGAAAATAGAGTCCATACCATTTTCCTGCTTGAATCCCTTTAACAATGACTTTGAGAGTAAGATTCAAATGCTTAGCACAGGGTAGGACACAACAGGCCCCTGACCACTCTTGGGCAATTCCAAACCACCTGGGATGAGTGGACACATCCGGCTACTGTACACCTGTAGGCCTCTGCCCTTGAAGTTCCATTTGTCTGAAATTACTTCCTACTGCCCTGGCCAAGCTTCAATGTCCCTCAAAATCTGGTTCCGGAACCTTCTTCTAAGTTTCCCTCTGTGCTGGGCATGTTCCCTTTTTGGCTATCCCAATTTGTATTTCTTTTATTTTGCATTGCAAAGCTTTCTCCACCTCTACTCTGGCTTCCTCAGGGCAGAAAATGTATCTGACTTATTATTTAATCCCCTACTAATTACACAGGGGGTGCCAAGCCAATTTTGTTAAAGCAAGCCTATGCAGGAGGGTAAATGTGACAGGGCAGTGCAGAGCAGTGGTTTGGATTAGGATGCTGGTGTCAGATTCCCAGCGGGGCAGCCACTGTCTGGGTAACCTGGAGCAATGACTGCACTGATCTGTTAAACAGGTATGAGCACAGAATCGCAGGGCACCTCTCAACAGGACAGTGGACACTTGACATGAGTCCACCCTGAATCTGGCCAAACCTCATCGAGATCCAACTATTAATTTTCAGGAAGTACAGAGAAATACATTAAATCACACTGCAGAGAAACGATCAGTAAAAGCCTTAACGCTGCAGGAACAACTCAGTGGCTTCAACAAGTAAACTACAAGGAAAATAAAAAAAAAAAATAGAGGGGAAATCTACAGCTTAAAAGAAATTTAAAAGACACATCAACTGCAAAATATGGGCTGGATCTGGATCTACCTTCAAACAAAGAAATTATAAAATTCACAAGACAATTAGAAATTCAAGCGAGTGGTTATTTGATATTAAGAAATTATTCTTTTTCAAGTTTAAGAGTATCTTAGAATATCTTAGAACATACACTGAAAAACTCATGGACGAAATGATGATATTTAGGGTTTTTTTTTTTTTGGTACTGGGGATCGAGCTCGGGTCCTTGCGCTTGCGCAGCAGGCAGCGAAACCACTGAGCTAAATCCCCGGCCCGATATTTAGAATTTGCTTGCAAACAGTATGAGGAGGGTAAATGTGTAAGTGAATGAAGTTAGGGATGAAATAAGACTGGCCAGGGGTTAATCACTGCTGAAGCTGCCTACAATTCTGCTTGTTTTTTTGGTATGTTCAATACCCCCACGGAAAACAATTATAATAACAGCTGATGTTGAAACTAACTCACACAACAGCAAAAGGCTAAATTAAGTAATAATTATTAAGGAAAATTATGTAAATGGGGACTTTCCTAACCAAATGTGAAAGATAACTACATATTAGATGAAAAACAGTTGCTCTCGTGCTAAATCAGTATGCATAAGAAAAAAATTAGATTTGTTTTATCTTCTACAACATGAAAACAACTGGTTATTAATTGATTTGTCTAGCACTTTGCCTGATAATTAAGATTTTTAATTTAAGTAGACAAATTCAAGTATACCTTCAAATATTTATTTAGGGGGGGACCAAGTAAAAACATTTTAAATCTATTAACAATTTACTGTAAAGTCTTGGCACCCTATGAATTACATTATCGAAGCTCTTTAAGACGAGGCCAAAAAAGGATTATTTTTAACCCCGAAGGATTATTCTGGATGGAAAAAAAAAAAAAAAGTTAAATGGAAGACTGGCTGTTGTTCTTCCAGAAAAAATTAAAAGCCAAAAAGAATTTTCATAGCTGAGAACCCAGAATGTTGACTTGGGGGTAGGTATGGGTTGAAATCCACTTAACAGCTGCTTACTACGAGCAGACTGCTGAGATGCTGTTCCTTAGTTTCCTCTTCTGTTAAAATGGGTTTCAAGCCGATACTTGAGGCTCCCTGATAACCACAAGTACCTGGGCTGGGCAAACAGGGCCTAGTTTCCCCTGCCTTAGGCTACTTTTCCAGCTCCTTACAACTCTTCACTCCCACACAGCTTGCCCTAGAGGCTGACAATCCCGCAACCAAGCTGCATATCTTCCTTTGGCCAGGCTTGAAGTGTTTTAGAGAACATTTTCATTAGTTATTGCCAACACTTAAAAAGTGGGTGAGTACAAATTTGGAGCTCTGACTTCTTTAGAAAACTGCTGTGTGAAGTTCTGGTTCTAGGGTCCCCAACACTCCATGATCTTACACCTGGCCTCGAGAATCAGAATCGAGTCGCAGTTCCACAGTGGACTGTGTTCCTTTGCTAGCCTTGTTCTTTCACTTCTGTGCCTGTCCCTCCCTGGCAAATTTCTGGTCACCATGCAAGAACCAACTGCACCACCTGTCACCTCATTTCCATGGCAAAACCCTTCACTACAGCAGGCACTATACCTGTCCTGGAACTGTCTGCATGGTGGCCTCTGCTGAGCTCCTGGGCTCTCCAGGGGAAGGGACCCCGCTGCTATCTCCTTTGTGTCCCAAGGGCCTAGCAGAAAGCATGACCTAGATAAGGCAGAATTCTCCTGAATGTGTGGAAGAAAGCTAAATTCATAAAAATGTAAGATTTATGTCACAGCTTGTTCTGCCAGTTACCAAACAATGGGGTCGAGGACATTAAAATATTTCACAAAATAAGAACAAGCGTCCATCTGCTTACAAGTTTCAGAAGTTTGTCAGAAGACATGAAATGAACAGATAAAACATGGACAACACAGAGGCAGGGCCATTCCTTCACTCAGCCATTGAACTGAATACTCACTGCGTGCTTCCTCAGCACTGAGAAATCAGTGGACAAGTCAGACAACTACCTGTTTCATAAAGCTATAAAAAATAAACAGGCGAATAAAAAAAGTTTCAAATCAGAGTAAGGGCTAGGAAGAAAACAAAACAAAATAATGTGACAGAATGACTCAGGAAAGAAAGAGGGTGGTCAACCAGGCCTCACTGAGAAGGACGCAACTAACCAGGGGAAGGGGTAGAAGGAGCCAGCCTTGCAGAAAACTGGGAGCCAGTTCCCAACACGACCGAGTGCAAAGGCCCTGGGGTAAGTGGGCCTGGCACGCTCCAGGCAGGCGAGCAGGGCCCTGGGTGTGGTGGGCGGCACGGGAGGTGGGCAAAGCCTGCTCCTTTCCGCCGGGCACCGGGTGGGCAATGACAAGGCACCGGAGAGTGCGGCTGGGAGGGGTGTCCTCGCAGGCCCCCCGGCCCGACCGGCGGCGTTTCCGCGCTTTCCCGGGGAAGCGGGGGCGCGAGGGTCAGCGCCCCGGCCAAGGTCGCGAGCCCGGCCCCGGGCGCCAGAGCATCGTCAGCCTCGGCGGGGTGCACCGGGCGCCCCGCAGCTGGAGGGAGGAGGAAGGACCACCGAGGCGGGGCCACCGAGGGCTAGGCCGGAGCGCGGGCCGCAGCCCTCGCTGACAGCGGCGGGAGGGGCGACTGCGGCATCGGCAGGCCCCGCGGCCCAGCTCCCGAGCCCCGCCGCTCTGCGCCCGCCCGCTCGCACGCCGGGCTCACCTCGCCTCCCCGCCGCCGCGCCGGGGAGAAGAGGGCGGCGGGCGGACTGGCGGCGCCGCGCGCTGCCGCTCCCGGCTCCGCCGCCGCAGTGGGCCTGGGGGGCTCTGGGCGCTCCGACCCTTCCGGCCCGCTCCTCACTCCCCGCTACCCCGCCGCACCGCCGCGGCGCTGGCCTGAGCGACCCACGGGGTGGCCAATCCGCGAGCGGAGAGCCTGGCTGCGGCGGCCAATCGCTACAAGGGGCGGGCCGCGGAGGGCGGTGCGGGAGGGGCGGGGCGGAGCGGGGCGCGCGGGGTTCGGGTCTGGCCGGCGGCTGCGCCGTGTGGGCCGCGTGGCTGGGCGAGCGAGTTGGCAGCCGCCGGGGACGCGAGCGCCGCCCGGAAAGCCGAGCGGGCCCCCGGCGGGCCCGGGAGTCGGCGTCCGGGCTGCAGGTGCACGCTCGCGGAGAGGCGAGGAGCCCGGGCCGAGGAGGGAGGCTTGGGGCCGAGCGGAGCCCGGCGCGCTGTGCCCGGAGAGGCGAGGCCGAAGGAGGCCCGAGGAGAAGCCCGGCCGGGCGCGCGGGGGCTCTGCAGGGTGCGGCCCGAAGTCGTGCGGGGAGGGGTGCGGAGAGACGGCGGGACGGGGGGCGCGGTGCCAGGGCCCCTCGGGCTTGGAGCACCTGCTGCGGCCCGAAGGCCCTCGGCTCCGCTTCCCACAGGCCCGGGGGATGTTGCCGGAGGTCGGGGTTTTGAGTGTCGACAGATCTGCATTCGGATAGTGAAGCTGGAAGTGCGGCAGGGAGGCTGACACCTTGGGGAACAGCTCAGAGCTGTGCCTGGGGTGGGTGGGGCTGGGCTTTGCGGACTGGCGACTTTGCCAGAGTGGATCGCCCGATGCCAGAGGCCTCGGAAGGACCAGGGTGGAGGGGAGGAGCAGGACCCGACCGCCGGGAGGTCGCTCAAAGGCCCGGTGGTGTGGAGGGTGTGGCTGGGTTTGAGGGGCCCAGCAAGCCCGGCCTAGGTCCCCGGGACGGGAGGCCGATGCGGTCCGGTCGCTGGGGTCGCGGTCGCAGAAGGGATCCCCCAGGATGTCTCTCTTTGGCCATCCCAACCTTGGCCACCAGAGGGAGTTTACTAAAGTCGAGTATGGCTCGTCCCTGCTTAAAAGTCGAGCTCGGGAGTGGGGCCAGCACTGAGGAAGGTCCAACTGCTGGGCTCCTGCCTGCCCGTGAACCTCACCCCAGCCTTCCCTGCAACCTACCTCAGGTGCACAAGAGGAAGCAGAGCACCAGCAGTTGCCATTACGGGGAACTAGTAAAAAGCCTGGCTGTCGAGCAGTGGTTTCACCAAGAAGCATTCATGAGTTCTTCCCCTCAGATTAGGAAGGGCACAAGCCTGACTTCGTGGCACTCATCCCACACAAGGTGAGTAACAGAAAAAGTCACTCCTGGACATATTCCACACTGCTTCTGTTCATTCTGGAGACACTGCTTTTTTCTGGTATTTGAAAGATGATGTACCTTTATGGCCACAGAGCCGAGGCTGCATGATGGGGGAGGGACGGGTCCGTGGCTTGGAAAAGCGCAAAGAATCCTGAAAAGACCCTGTCAAAAGTGTGAAGCAGTTGGGACTCATGCCCGCGACTGACACCTCCCAGGTGGGGAAACAGTTGAGGCCTGAAGGGCAAACCCTCAGCTAAGGCTGGGAGCCGCCAGAAAAATGCTTGGCCTGTGAGTGAGGCAGCAAGGCCCCTCAGGCCCAGAGGTTCAGAAATGAGCACCAGTGTCCTGTGGTCTGAACCACAGGTCCCCTAGACTCGCTGGAGGGGGGGGGGGGGTCGTTGGTGTGAGGCCTTGAGGAGGATTGGTATTGCTAGCCGGGGGTGGGGGGAGGTCCGGGATTGGCTTCAGCACACTGATAAGCCTTATTCAGCCTAAAGGTGTCTTGGGGTTTTTTTATTTTATTGCTTTCACTTAACTGCCGTGATTTAAAAACCAGGAGACTTAGCTCAAACAAGCAAAACCCTCCATTGTTGGCTTCTCTTTATTAGTTAGGTCTGGCGACTTGGGGCCTACATTCCTGAAGGGCAGTGGTCAGGCTGCCTGCAGCTTTGCTGCTCCCTCCTTGCCGCCCCCGCCCCCTGGAGGCATCTCAAGTTGGAAACCTTGCTGTGGGGATGAGGACAGCTGCTGAAGTGCACTAAGCCAGGGGCTCGGTGATGCAGTTAAGGGTTCACTTCGGAAGGGCCACTAGAACACGTAAGATTTGAGGGACAAGGGGCTCAGGGGCACAAGGCTAGGCGCTATTTCTGTGAGAGAAACAGACCTGATCTGGGGCTGTGGCAATAGGTGTGAGAAGAAGGAACTGGTTCTGAAATAGTTCCACGACACTGGGGAATTACAGACGGATCTGTCATGAGCCACCACAAGGTACCTTCTTGGATGGCTGCCCTAAAAACAGTAGCAAGTGCTGGTGATGTCGTGCAGCCATCGGAGCCCTCAGGCATGCTGGGAAAGCACAGTGTGGTAGCCCCTTTGTAAAGAGTCTGGCAGTTTCTGATAAGGTTGCATGTACACCAGCCAGCACCAGTAAGCCTGTTCCTGGATATTTATCCATGTGAATGTTTATACCATCTGTATTCAAAAGAGTCAAAAGCCAGAAGCTTATTCCTATGACCACTATCCAGGGAATGGATAAACAAACCCTGGTGCATCCATACGGTGGGCTGTCACCTGCTGGCAAGTGCACAACATGCCTAAGCATCAGAAGCAGTGTGCTAAGTGATAGATGCCAATCAGGAGACTACCCTCTGTGATTCTGTTTGTGAGACAGTCTGGAAAAAAATGTCTGGGGAAATTTAATCATTGGTTATGAGAGGCCAATTTAGCTGAGGAGGTGACTACCACAGACCACGAGGGAATTTTGAGCAGTGATGGTTTTACGGTTTTGTGGTGATGGTTATATGACTCTGTATTTGTCAGAACTCGGAACCATGACCCTGAATGTACGTGAATTATATTTAAACAAACTTGAGATAAGGGAGGGTTGAAATTGTCCGATCTTAGTGAGAGGTGGGGCACGGGCCAGGCAAGGCAGACGAGGAGTGGGAGGGAGCTGAAGACCTGGCGTGATTTCTGGAACGAGGCACTCTGCCCTGCGCTGCCCCCCGGCCACCCAGAGGAACTCCTGTTCCAACTCGCTACCCAGCCACTGCCTTCCTGCTCCTTTCCTGGTGCTCACTCTCAGCCCTGTGGCCCCTGGCTGTGGACCCGCCGTGATGAAGCCACGTGCCCAGCCCCTCCTCCCGAAACCTTCAGCCTCCCTTTTGCCTGTTTGTGCCTCTCCTTCCCCTGCCCACCTCCCTGCCCACGCTGGCCTCTTTACCAGGCCGAAGAGGGCACAGGAGGCAGGAGGAGGCTGAACGTGAGCTCCCTGGGCTGGCGTTGAGGCAACACGTGGACAGAGACCCAGGGCTTGTCCAGAGGCCAGCTGCAGGTACGGCTGCAGGATGGTTGCTCTCCTCGGGTCCAGGTCCCATCTACCCATGACTGGCCTAGGGTTCCAGTCCGGCTCTGTGCTTATCAGCTGTGCTGGGGCAGGGGATCTGCTCCTTAGTTCTGTGGGAGATGCACTCAGTCCTAGCCAGTGGGGATGCTGCGCTAAGATGCCTAGGAGCTGGGCAGGCAGTCCCAGTGGAGACCACGGCTGCAGGGACGGGGAGTCTCCTCGGGCTGCTCTCCACACCCTCTCCTCTCACCCTGCCCGCTCTCCTAACCCGTTTGCCTTCTCAGCCTTTACCAGGGCCAGAGATGTGCGGAGGAGTATAAGTCAGAACGCTTCAGGTGTGTGTTGTAGGAAGCCAACTTGCCCTTAAACCAAGGAGGACAAGTATTAGTCCATTTTTTGTGTGTGGCTATAACAAAATCCTTGAATAGACTACTTTATAAGGAAAAGAGGTTTCTGGTTGGGGGTGTAACCCAGTGGTAGAGCACTTGCCTACATGGATGAGGCCCTGGGTTTGATCCCCAACACCACAAAAAACAAAAACCACACACATACACACACAACCAGGAAAAACGGTTGATTTTGACTCAGTCCTGTAAGTGCAGTGTGGAGGGGCTGCATCGGGTGATGGGCTTCTTGCTGGCCAAGTCCTGGGGGTGCGGCCCAAGGTATCCCATGGGAAGAGACGGGGAGTATGCGCGTGTTTGCCTTAAAGCCGCCTGGAGACAGTCACTGTCCAGGGGTCCCACAACTCAACATGTGATCGAGATAAGTTTCCACCCTCTTAACACGGCATCTCCTGATGAAGCTGCAGGGCCACCCCAACAGTCTGCCCAGCCCGGCACATTTGTTGGGAGGGCAGGGCAGGCTCATGAGCCAGGCCTAGAGCCTTTGAAGCCACTGGTGTCCTCTCCGTCGTTGCCTGCGTTTCTCTGCCAGCGTGCTCGTGCTCGTGCTCGTGCTGGGGGTAGCCTCCCACCTGTGTCACCTGCTCCTCCACCATTCAGGGGGTGGGAGTGGCCTTCTGTCACAGATTGAGTTTGAGTCCTGTGTGTGGGGCTGGCACTCCTGTTCCAGTCAGCTGGTCTGGGCACTAGGGCTCACAGGAGGACACAGCAGGAGAAGGACAATTGGCTGGCAAAGGCAGAAGTCTAGGGGATTATTCTTTGGCCACCATAAGAAGCGGGTGTCTCAGCTGGGGCACAGTGGAGGCATGAGTGCCTCACAGAAGCAGTGTTGTGCAGGGGCTGTACAGTGGAGTGTGGAATGGCCCTCTGCTCTCCTCCGCGCATCTCCAGAGCGCCAGCAGCCGGACTCTTCACTCCCAGACAAGGGACCAGAAAGCTCTCTTCTGGAAGTCTGAGTAGCCCTAAAGAGAAGGCCTGACATACTGACATCATCCACAGCCCTTAGAGCACTCCCAAATTTCCCCACAGTGAGTCTAGGCATCAACAAGCCCACCGTGTGCTCAGAACTTGTGATCAGCCCACCTGGAGTCTTAGCAGAAATTCTTAGCCCAAATGCACGTGGCAAAGACAACTAAGGTCATCAGGCAGAGAACTGCATGTTAAAGGAAACAGGTTATGTGTGGAGAAGGAAATTTCTAATGAAAACGTCTATCACTGGTGGTTTCAGAGAGAATGAAAAAAATTCACATCCTCGAAGAGGGCTCGGGATGCACATGTATGTCCTTGCTCTCAGCTGAGGCGGCCTAGAAACCATGATGTCAGCACAGCAAGCACACCCAGAGCTCAGATCTTGGTTTCTAATGCCATTCTCCAATAAATGCAACCAGGGGTCCCCGGAGAACGGCTGACACTAGGGCTGGGACAGGAGATATACAAGATGAACCTGGAGTTCACTGTAGTGCAAGGAAGGAAGTACACACAAGCACATTGGGCCGGGGATTTAGCTCAGTGGTTCCGGCGCCTGCCACGCAAGCACAAGGTCCTGAGTTTGATCCCCGGTACCGGAAAAAACAAAAAAAAAATACCCCCAAACCACACAAGCACACACAATGATGGGAGTATGTCAGACACAGAAGGCAACTGAAAGCCTCCAGTAACCAGAGCGAGAACTATCTGAGCAACAAAATAGTACAGAAGTAGGTTGGGTACCTGTGTCATAGGGAAACTTGGCACACCGCCTCAGAGATGATCAAGCTCGGTGGCAGAGTGGCCAGACTTGTTGCTAGTGTGTATCCTGGGGTTAAAGTGATGACAATGGCTCTTTTCTTGTGGTCTTCCTCCTAAAAACCCATTCTAACCTCGAGAAAAGCATCACACAAACCCAGCCGAGGGACACTGCACAAAATACCGCCAGTACTCCTAGCACTGTCAAGGTCAAGCAAAGCAGGGAAGGTGAGAAACTCACAGCCGAGAGGAGCCCAAGGAGACAGGCATGTGGTGCCCCAGAACGGAAAAAGTGCGTGAGATAAAAGCCAAATGTGATGGTAGGATAGCCTTTAATTTTTAAAACCGTGTTATAAAATACTTCTATATTCAAATCAAAGGGCTCTGGGAAATTATGTTGGGAGAAATGAAAAATCTTAGTGATAGGTTGGGAGATAAAATGGAATAAGTTTCACAATTAGTAGACAACATGATAGACAAAAGGAAGGACAAATGCACAGGTCAATCCAGGGCTTCAACTTCTAACAGGCATTCTAGAGAGGCCAGAGAAACAGAACTCCACGGCAGAGATGGTGACTGTAAGAGTATTCTGGGGAAGGGCATGAGTTACTGGCTGAAGTCAGCTCTCAACGACAAGAGCCCTGAGGCACCACGTGATGTTTTAGAACACAAGGAACAAATAGGAGATAAATGGTCACCGACAAGGACTCCTCAGAGTGACTTTGGACTCCTCAACAGCAACACTGGGAATGAGATGATACTGGTCTTCCCTTTAAAACTTGGAAGGGAAAATTTTTTTGACCTAGAATTCTATATTTAGGTAGACCCTTGGAAGTGTAATAAAGTCATTTCCAGACCCACAAGCTTTTAAAAAACTGTACGTTCTTCTGTGGTCTCAGTGTTTGTTCCTGCACCCCCAATTTGTATGTTGAAATCCTAACCTTCACTATGATGGCATTGGAAGTGGGGCCTTTAGAGGGTGATTAAGCCATGAAGGTGGAGCCCTCGTGAACGGGGTTGGTGCCCTTATAAAAGAGGCCCAGCAAGCTCCCTCGTTTTGCCACTATGTGAGAGGACACAAAAGAAGACCTCCATGTGTGAACCTGGAAGTGGTCCTCCCCTGGCACCAGCTCCTCAGGTTCCTTGATCTTGGGCTTCCCAACTTCCAAAATAGCAACAAATACATTGTTTATTTTTATATTGCCTAGTTAGTGACATTGTATTTTGTCACAGCAGGCTGAATGAACTGAGGTTCTGAATGCTGGAAGTTCAAGATTGGGCTGCTGATCTAGTGAAGTCCTTGCTGGTGTGGACTCTTCCCAGAGCCATGCAGAGAACCACATGGTGGGAGAAACAGGACATCCTGGCTTAGGTCTTTCTTCCTTTTATAAAGTTACCTCCTGTTGGATTACGGCCCCATTCTTATGGCTTTCTTGAACCTCTAAATACTACAGTTGGATTGAGTTTCTACCCTTCTAATACTTGACAACGGGAAGTAAATTTCAACATGCGTGTTGGTGAGGACATTCAGACCACAGCACCTGTCAAGCACCTTTCCTCAGAAGGGTGTAAGTCCCATCAAAACAAGAAAAGGGGACCCAGAAAAAAGACACAGATAGGAGACAGGACCTCAGTGTATGAGATGAGATGGAATCCCTGGGAGGATGATGAAGGCCATCCAGATAACAGCTCTGCTCCAGATGGAGGGCAGCTGAGCCATTCTGCAGCAGTGTGACCCAAGAAGTAGACTGTGATCACCGACACCAAGCGAGTGTCCCGGAGAGTGGGGACAAGGTTCTCAGCATTGCCCGCTCCTGTGTGTGCTCAGGAGCTCCTTCGTCGGGCTGTGGTGAGGACACACACATCACTGCGCAATTCTCAGCTTTGCTCCGAGCGGGAGGTGGGCCACGGCACACTCAGAAGCAGAGGGCGCAGAGCAGCCTCTCCCTGGCCGTATTTCTGTTGCGGCCCAGTCCCTGCTCCAACCTCAGGCCCGCCAGGTGTCCAGCCATGCTGAGCCCCGTGTCTCCAGGGTCCTCTGGTGGCCTTGCCCACAACTTCCCTAGAAAGGGCCTTGTCTGCGCCCAGAGAAGTGGGAGTCAGATGGCGCCCTGGAGACCCAGCCCCTCACCTCCTCCTGTAGCCTCCGTCCAGCAGGGGCGGTGTGTGCTGGCCCTCCATTTTCACAAATAGGCAATACAGTCCTGCCTTGGTATCCAGAGGATTGGATCCAGGAACCCCTGTGGATACCAAAATCAGTGGCTGCTGAAGCCCCTTATGTAAAACAACATAGCATTTGCACATAAACTAGCAACATACTCCTACCTTAAATCATGTCTAGATGACATTATACCTAGTACAGTGCCTACATATCACTTCATTCATGTGGATTCAGCGCACTACTTGTATAATAGCTTCAAGTTTTGGGGTTTTTTCTGAGATTTTTTTCAAATATTTTCGATCTGTGGTTGGTTGAATCCACGGATGTGGATGCAGAACCCACGAGGGCCAAGTAAATATTACTGAGGATAGGCACACAGGTAGAACTACAAAGAAAAGTGAGGGGAATGATTAGCACAAAGCTCAAGATCACCAGTGTTTCTTGGCTGTGAGGTTCAGATAATTTTTCTGGGTCTTGACCAGATAAACATGGCTAGCTTGTAAACAGTTTCCTAACCTTAGGAGTTACATCGACCATGGTTTGATCAGGAAGATAGAGGTGGTCTAGCTGTTGCCTTGTTAGTTGCTGAGGACAAGATGGAGGTCTAGGAAAGCCACCACAGTTCCTGGGTTCCTGCCAGCACGCTACAGATGGTGTTTGGGTGGAAGGGCAGGGAACTCCTGTTCGTGGCCAGCATCACCTGGGGCCCGAGGTGGGATTTTGGGGAGCACTCAAGGGCTGTGCGAGGGCCCCCTATCTGCCAGACCTACACCTCTGTCTGCCTCTTCCAGAACAGAAATGAGTGCAGGTGTTCCTCAGTTTACAGTGGGACTGTGACTGGGTAAATCTACCACACGTTGAAAGCACTGTAAGTTGAAAATGCATTTAATATACCTAACAAACAGCCAGCCTACCTAGAGCATGCTCGTAACACGACATTTGCCTACAACTGGACAAAATCATCGATCACAAAGGTGTTTTATAATAAAATGTTGAATATCTCATGTAATTTATTGAATATCATATTGACTGTATGTATATGATTTCTACTGGATGTAAAGTACTTTGGCTATACTGTAAAGTAAAAAGTCCTAAGTCAAATTGATACTTGGGCCCTAGAATTTCCCTCCATACCAGTTTTCAACACTTGAATCCCTGTGAGACACATCAAACCACATCCATTTGTGGCACTAACAAACAGGGCTTTTCCAACCACACCCTGCCTAGATCCTTGGAAGTCCTCAATATCTAAAGTGTACAAAAAGAATGTGGTTAACCAAATCCAGAATATAAACACACATGCAAATGTACTGTCTTTATTGTCTTAAAATTGCATAGTACTTTGATTGTGCGCGCTTTTGAATAGAGACCAGGGTAGCCCACTTGAAACTGCCCTCCTGCATGGGACTTTTCAAGCTGTTCTAATATCTAATATGGGTAGGGGAGCAGGGACCAAAATGCTGCTTGGGCTTATAAAGAACCATTGTCTGATTCAACCTAAGTCAGACAGTTGGTCGGATTTGGGCCCTAAAACAGAAAAAAGTATTGGAGGAAGCTGAAATGTCAACTGGACTTAGGGAGGGCAGAGGAAGATGGCTGGAGGGCTTCACTGACATCAGAGGACAGAGCCAGGAGCAGCCCAGGGAGGAGGGAAGGGCGAAGAAGTCCAGATGGTCAATCCCTTGTGCTCAATCTGCGATGAAGGCCACTCACCAGGAGCGAACCCAGAGCCAGTGCAGTGGGTAGCTGAGGTGAAGAGTCTGGGTATTACCGTGGCTACAGAAAGCCACATATAGAAAAATAACTTAAGCTATACAGTCGTCATTATAAATACTTCGTTTTTTAAAACTAACTAGTGTTGGTTTAAAAGGTTCACAGTTACTCTGAGAGAGCCATATATCTATTGCACAGCAGTGGGAAAGTCTGCTCTGACCCCCGTGTGTAAACAATAATCCTCTTCTCCTCAGGCGACTTCAGGACACAGAGACAGTATTTGCTGTAAGCAAAAGCACTTGGGTACAAGGCACATCGCAGCTGTCAAGCTCTACTGGGAACACGCGGCACCAGGAGTGCTCACTTTCCCCTGTGGCATCCGCTGCGTGACAGGTCTCGAACAGACTAATGGTCACGATTCTCCTCATTCCACAGTGACAGACTTGGCCAGATTTCTGGGGAAGTCAACCTGAAAGAAAGGAGCTGCTCAGGACCCCACCAATGGTCATTCCGTGCTACACCGCAATGGCTCTTACCAAGAAAACAGGTGTTCCCAGTCCCCTCCAACCTCGAGTTGCCTTGACACTCACGTCTTGGAAGTGAATTCCTCCTAGAAGCTTCATTGCATTCTATAATGCTTAGTTCATTGAATAAACATTTAGTGTGCACCTAGTGTGTCGTGTTGTATAACTAACACCTAAAAGACTATGACCCACGCGTTTAAAAACAGCTAGCTTGGTGTGTGCCGTTAGAACTCTTCAGGGGTGAGCGTGTAGCTGAGTGGTAGAACACTTGCCTAGCAGGCATGAGCCCCTGGGTCTGGCCCCAGGCACTGCCAAATAAATAAATAAATAAATAAATACACATTTTTGAAGAATACACACAAATTTCACGAAACTTGTTATTTTTAGGGTGGAAATTGGGAAGGAAATATGATTGGGAATGGGTGATAAATTGGGATTCAACTTTACCTGCAATGAATTACTTTCTTTATATTTTAAGAGGAGATGAAACAAGTATGACAAAGTGGTAGCAAATGTCAGTTCTGGACGCTATGTACACATTCAGGTATTTGTTCTACTGTGGGCTTTGTTACATGTTTTAGAAAGCATCTCTAATAGAATTGTAATTAAATGTTTATTTCTTTGCACAGTGAAGTATGTGTTCTTACATAAGATCCTAAGTGGTTCTTTTCTGGAACATAATTTGGCAATATATATGAAAAATCTCAAAATGTTGTCTGATTAGCTAGATGAAGGACAAATCTTAATCGTGGGACCAAGGTGTATGTACAAAGATGTCCACTGCAGTGTTATTTATGAAGATGAAAAACTGGAAAAAATTAAATAGTAACAGACTAGCAGAATAACTGGTAGGAAAATCACGTTATGAGATTATAAATGAAATATGCAATGATTAAATGTTGCATATAGCAAGTTCGTAAATGTGAAAAAAATAAAAGAAAGAAAATTTTATACTTGATATAATATTGAGAAATGTTTTTTAAAAGCTCGCATGAACAGGAAAAGATGAATAAAATATTCACTTTGTTAACTAACATTGCCTCTGGGTGATGAGGTTATAATTTAATGATGTGGTCTCCTCCGCCTTTTTGCAGTTCTCAGCTGTTGTTGGGATATAAGCTACTTTAAAGAAAGTTACTTGCAGTGAGATTATTCCTCCAAAGACTGCTCTAAATAGATACGTAAAGAAAAGGGAACTGGCATTGCACGCCACGTATGTGTGCTGAAACATCGCTCTACCCCGTAGGCACATACACCCATGTGTCAGTTAAAGTGAGAAGTGTATTTTAGAAGGAGCTCAGGGCTGTGTTCTCCTCTTCGGCATGCGGGCGCAGTGCTCAGACTTACATCATATCCTCGGAGCACAGCCAGGTGGAAAGAGAGAAGCTGCAGCGGGATCACGCTCAGGATGCCCTGCAGGCAGTCCACGGTGTGGGGCAGCTCGATGGTTTTGTATGCAAACTTAGAACTCTCAGTGTCATCCTTGCAGCACAGTATAATCGGGCGACCCTAGGGTAGAGAAATACGTTTGCAAATAGGTAAGTTCTGAAAGAAGGAGCTGTTTCCACATTGCAGTTTTTGGAACCAGCATTAGTGCAATTGTTGGAATTATGAGTGAAGGTGCAATTCATGATTCATGTAAGGGACAAAGCACGTGATGCTTCGTGGTGCATTCCTGTCCTTCCTGGTAAGATGACTGGCACCTACCCACACCGTTCTGCACCCATTTGTTGAGTGGCCTCAGGATGCCTTGCAAAGGGCCAGGCAGCCCTCCTGACCCCAATGGGCTCACCATCTAGTGATGGGAAACAGACCCATAAGCAGACCAGGACACGAAGATGAATCTTAGGAAAATGCCACGGGGCAATAAAAGAGGCAGTGTGACTGAGGAAGGCTCCTCAGAAAGGAGATGTCTGGCTTGAGACCTCAGTGATGAGAAGCTGACTCTCTGACTGTGCAAGAGCATTCTGGGCAGAGAAACACCCAGCACACAAAGGCTCCGAGCCGGAACGAGCTCGGCATGAATAGGACACGGGGAGAGTGGGGTGGTGGAACTCGGCATGGCAGGAGGAGAGGAACAGGTGACACAGGCTCGTGGGGCACTGCAGTTGGATGGGGGGCTGCAGGAGGGTTTTCGGCAGGGGGAACGGTGCGGTCTGACCACCATGCTGAGTCAGGTGTGGCGGCCCCTGGCTTGAGCAGCTTACTGTGTTTCAGCTACCTGTAACTTCATGAGCCAGCCCAAGATGGAGCTGGAGGGCTCTGGCCTTCTGTGTCAGGGAGCTACTGTACAATAAAGAATCTGGCTAGGGCCGGGGATTTAGCTCAGTGGTTCCGGCGCCTGCCTTGCAAACGCAAGGTCCTGAGTTCAATCCCTGGTACCAAAAAAAAAAAAAAAAAAGAATCTGGCTAGTCTTTGTCCCTGCTGCCTGGGAGAGAGACTGTAATCTTCTGGACTTTCCTGAAAGATAGAAGCATCTTTGTCTCCTGGTGGGCCCCTCAGCCAACACCTGAGTCTATGCTGGTGAGAAGATTCACAATGAGTCCAAGGACAGTTTCAGTGTGGGGGATCAGCGTGTCAGAAAGGTCACCATGTGATTACTGGATTGGGACCTTGGGCCCTGAAGTCAGAGGGAGAACTGGAGATCAAGTTCAAACAAAAGCCAATGATCTAATCGGTCATGCTTACTTAATGAAACCCCAATAAAACATGGGCACTGGAGCCAGAAGCTCAGGTGAGCTCTCAGGTGCTACACCAGGAGGATGACTCATCCTGAGGACACAGAAGCTTCACGTTTAGCGCCTGACTGGTATCCTTACAATCAAACTGTAATAGGAAGCAGAGCACTTTCCTGAGTTCTCTGAGCTGCTCTAGAGAATCATCAAGCCTGGGGGAACGCCCCAGTTTGCAGCTAGGTAACAGTGGCAATGCCCACATCATTTTGTCTTATGCCACCTGGTTGGAGATTAGTTTACTTTGAAAAATTGCCCTTTGTAAAGCCATTTTTTTTGTTTTTTCCCTTTCCCCAACATTGTTGCTTCTAAAAGAAAGTCCCCCTTTAAATGGCTGAGGTATGCACTACTAGAGTGAACTATTCCAGAAAGGAGGACAAAGAGGAAAACAATGATCCTCAGACTCCTAATCAGTGATTTTTCTTCAGGTCTTTAGAACAGGGACACCTGGCGGTCTTCAAATTGACCCGTTAATCGTGTTTTCTAAAATAAGAACTCTTATGAAAATTATGTGTTTATCTAAAGCATTAAAGGACGGCTCAGGAGCTGAAGGTCCTTTGTAATCACAGGGATGCCCAAATAAGAGAAAGAAAAGCATCCCCAGTGCACAACCTTCCTGTCCCTCCCTCCCTTTTGCTTTTTTGGTACCTGGGATTGAACGCGGGATCCTGTGCTTGCGAGGCAAGGGGCAGCACCACTGAGCTAAATCCCTGGCCCCCTCCCTCCCTTTTGAAGAGGATGTGGTGGTCCCTGCCTGGAATCTCCGTGCTCTGAAAGGCAGGAAGATCACAGGTTTGAGTCCAGTCTGGGAAACTTAGGGAGACCCTGTCTCAAAATGAAAAATTTTAAAAGGGCTGGGGACATAGCTCAGTCCAAAGAACCTGGGTTCAATCCCTAACACTGCAAACAAACAAAAAACAAACACCCTTTCTTGATCCTGAAGTTTTTGAAATGGCCATGAGGACAGAAGTCTGGCCATTTTCCCTATCAGTTGCTTATTTTAATAAAAACTAATGTCCTTCCTACTAACTTCTGTCTTCAGAATATCAGCTGTCCTCAGAGGGCAAGGCTGGACCTTGATTGGTCAAAACTGTGAGTGGCCCAGCAGCCATGTAAGCACCTGACTGGTGTCTGACATGAGGCTGCCCTACACCGGGGAAACCTGACTTCAGCCTGCCTGGTCAGCGTCAGAACGGCACTGGTCAGCTTGGGAGAGCCCACCCCCAGGCGCTCTGCTAGGAGTACACGGCCTCCTCTGGTCCCCAAGCCCGGAGTCCAAGGCGGCTGGGGACCGTCTGGGCACTGGGGCTCACTGAGGAGCTGCTGCAGGATATGGCTGCAAGCCTGGTATTTCCTTCCCAGTGTGTGCGTGTCTCACAAGGGGCACAGGAGTGTGTCATCATGCCTGCTCACTGGCAGCACAACCCACAGCTGGTGCGGCAGGAAGTGGGTGAGGTGGGCGTGTGCAGAAGACAGCAGGGCAGAGGTGTCCCCGGACCAGCAGAGGCCTCACCTGGCGGGCTGTGACTTGCTGCAAAGCGTTCTGGCATTTGGCAAAACAAGGATCCTTCATGATCACCATGATGACTGGCATCTGCTTGTCAACCAGTGCCAGGGGCCCGTGCTTCAGCTCCCCGGCCAGAATGCCTTCCGAATGCATGTAGGTTATCTCTTTAATTTTCTGGGAAAACACAACAGTTCAGTGTCACCCTGGGCAGACAGGGGCTGGAGCAGATCAGCCAGAAAGGAGGAAGGGAAGCGAGGAGAGGGATAACGTGGGAAGGCAGGAGCTTGGGGCTGAAAGGCCAATGGGTGCATGGACCCGTCACGGCAGCAATGGCGAGGCAGGGCCAGGGCTTCCTGTCCCGAGCACACACCGCCGCTGGCTCGCTGGCTCGGGGTCCTCAGGCCAGCCCCAGGCGCTACAGCTCCATCTCTTCAGTCGCACACACAGCCACCCACTTTGGACACAAAGTCGGCACTGGTCTCCCTCCTTCCTCCTGGTGAGCCAGACTCATGGTTTCCCGTCACCATGGACAACACCATTGTGCCAGCCTAAGACCGACCCTTATTCTGCTAGTCGATTCGTCATTCCTTCAACTTTAGAGCCTTCATACCTTCCAGAGGGTCGCTCCAGCTGACCTATCAAACGAAATCACATCCTCTGGGCTATTTCAATTTTTTCTTATGTTCAGGTAAGATCCGTTTCTTTTTTCCTTAATATATGTTTGCACTACACGAGGCAGACCCGCGTCTACTGTTACCATTAAACCCATGTCATTGCCCCGATGAGACCATCGAAGGAAACATCTCTCCTTCCCCGGAGCCATTCCTCTGGGTCAGGGAAACACTGTAGGGACTGAGGCTCCTCCCTGGCGGCTGCAGACAGCTGGAGTCCTGGCCTCCACGTGGCCACAGAGGGGCCATTCACTTGTGCCAGCAATAGCCTAAAGGCTTCTTTCTTTGCCAGTGACTAGTGTGGAGACGATGTTGAATATGCATCGTTCACCAGTACACTTAGCCACTGCAGCTGAGCATCCCAGCCTGGGGGCAGAACTACCAGGGTCTAAAAGTGTACCCACCCAGGCCCTGTCTCCACTGCGCCCTTTGAGAAGCAGTGTGTGTCAGCTCCTCACTTTTTCTGACAGCAGTCAGAATCTCCTACCACCCTGAGTTCAAAGGCCAGGGATTGTGAAATATGTACGTTGTCTTCACTCTCTTTCCCGGCACATAATCCTAAAATCCTTGGACTCTTAAATAAGAGTGACAGGTGCTAACGATCAACTGCTGGCTGACAGCTCCTCAGTAGCTTCAAGATGGGGCCTGGTCACCAGAAAGATGGAGGCAGAATCAGCAGGCTGGAACTTTCAGCTCTGTGCCTCAACCCTAGGTTAGGGTTAAAGTTAAAGGGATCATCACTGGAGATGTGAATCGATCCTGCCTGTATCATCAGCGTCCACAACAACACTAGATGCCCAGAGGATCCTGGAGGGTGATCTGTCCAGATGAGCATGGAAGCCCACGTCCCTTCGCCCATACCTTGGCCTGTGCACCTCTCTCTTCACTGGGGATTCACTGCTGTCCTCCGAAATACTCTACTCTGTGAACCAGTGACCCTAAGCAAAGAAGGCTCTGCGTGGGATGCAGGTGGTGGAGGTCGGAGTGCACTGAGGTCAGGCTTGGACTTTCAAGGCCGGCTAATGCCTCTCAGTGCTTCCTGAGAGCCTTATTGGGGTAAGCAGCGGAACCGGGGCGCTGGAAGCTACCTGCCACTCTCTCTGCAGCCCTGTGGTCCACACAGGAGGAAAGTCAGTCACTGATTTTAAAATGTAGGCTCATTCTTGCAGGATCTCAAGCTCCCTTTGGGTTTAAAAGGTAACAAGGAAGCTCTGCAGAGGCCCCATCTCACAATTCTGGTGTGTGGCTTGTGGCAGTGGGAAAACTCAGGTCCTTTATGTAATCTTGAGCAGGACACTTCACTTGCTGGAGGCTTAGTTTCTTCCTGAATATGGTGTGGGCAGTTCCTAGCAATCTCTCAGAAGCTGCCCGTGACATGTGACTGAGCTTCTCCAGATGGGGCCTGGCTGCACCAGCCGGCTCCTGGGGCTCACCTTTTCTCCTGGGAGACCAGGAGCTCCCTGGGGACAGACACCCAGCTGTGTCCCGGGCCATACCAGCCTGGTTGAGAGCTGGGGCTCGTGCAGGCCCACAGGATGGCCAGCCCTTCCCTCCCCACACAGTGCTGTGCCCTCCCTTGCCCTACGGGTTTCTCTGCAGGTCTCCTATGCCGGCCTACGGCATGGCGGGATGCTGGGAGGGTGGGCAGGGGCGCTCACCAAGGCTCCTTCCAGGCACGTGGCATAGTTGTAGCCCCTGCCCATCACCAGAAGGGACCTCTGTGTGTAGAGCTCCAGGGCCAGGTCGTGGATCTTCTCTTCCAGGGACAGCACCTCCCTGATCAGCTCTGAGACACGCACACAGCAGAGGGAGAAAGTCAGCCATTCTAACTTCAAAACAACTTTAGGAAGAAAGCTGTAGGGGACACACAAGGTTCTGGCGCTCAATCACTTGGTATACTTTGCTTCTTTGCATTAGTTTAGAAGGACTTTAAACTTAGATTATGGGAAATAACTTGGGTTACTGGCTAGAAATTTGTTGGGACAGCAATTCATATTTGTGTGACTTTGAAAAGCACTTGTAGTAGACAGGGAACTATTATTTCTAGCTGCATTTTATAGGAAGGCAGCTGAGGCTCTAAGAGATGAAACCACCATCTGGTGAGAGTGGAGCGCCTAGAATGAATGCCGCCCAAGCTGGGTCTTAAGGCCAAGCCGTGCCCTGGGCCAGGTGCTCAGACTTCCCCACCCCAGGACTCCTCCACAGTCTTAAAGACCAAATCCCTCAGGAGCTTGTTTTCATGGGTTAGCTCTCACTGTTTACCACCTTAGAAAATAACACCGAGAAATTAAAAAGCATTCATTCATTTAAAATAGCAATAAACCTATTAGATTACTTTATTTTTCTGGGGAAAAAATGGGTGAGAATAGTGACACTGCTTAACATTTTGCATATCTTTTTTTTTTTTGGTACCAGGGATCGAACTCAGGACCTTGTGCTTGCAAGGCAGGCGGTGGAACCACTGAGCTAAATCCCCGGGTCTGCATATCTTTTTAATGTTTAATAAAAAGCACTTGACTGTTTTATGTTTCCACATTCAATTTGTTGTGATTTTTTTTTTTTTTGGTTGAAGTATAAACTGGGCTTCCAGAGACAGAGCAAATAATTTTTTCAAATATTCAAATATTCTTTGCTACATCATACTTGAGAAGGGGTAGTTCTTAAAATGGTTGTTACAAATATAGAATTTGAAATCATATCAATGAAGCGTTCTGATTTGTTACATTAATATTTATCTTATACTGTATTTTATTTTTTTTGTTTTTTGGTACCGGGGATCAAACTCGGGTCCTCGCACTTGCGCAGCAGGCGGGGAAACCACTGAGCTAAATCCCGAGCCCTATCTTATACTTTAAATGGTTCTTTACACATGCAGAATTTTGTTACATCATGCATTGGCCACAAAACAATGTAAATCTTCTAAAAATGGACACATTTCATTATAAAATACATTTTAGAAATCATATTTGTTAAAACCACCATGATCTGGGCTGGGGATTTAGCTCACTGGTTCCCGCGCCTGCCTTGAAAATGCAAGGTCTCGAGTTTGATTCCCGGTACCAAAAAAAAACACAAAACCCAAAAAACCATGCCACCATGATCTCATCAGAAAAGTCAGGAAGTGGTGAAGCTCGTGGTGGTAGGCACCATTTTCCAAAATTCTAAGTTTTGATCCAAAGCCTGAAGTTTATTATTGGCAACAAATTCTGTTGTTTGTTCCCCTGCAGTGCGGGGCTAGCGGCCCTGGTCCGTGGGGGCTGGGAGGGCTCAGCACTGGGCGGGCGGGCGGAGGAGGGTGGCTGCCGGGCGGTCGGTCGTCTAAAGGGCCGAGGCCTACGACTGCAGCTGCAGAGGCGCAGAGGGAGTTGGGGAACATACCGGGGAAGGACCGCAGGCCCCGGGTGATCTCTTGCCTCCTGTTTTGTAGCGAAATCCGGTCTTCAGACATCATCAAGCCAAACATCACCAGGGAGATGAACGGGCTGGTGTAGGCCTGTGGGCGGAGGGACGGCACGGACCAGCGCTGCGGGGACAGGAGGAGGCGCCCGGGGAGGCCCCTACCTTGGCGCTGGCCACGCCGATCTCCGAGCCGCGTTGACGTGGACGCCGCAGTCGCAGTCGGTCTCGCGCGAGATGGAGCCGCCCACGGTGTTGGTGACGCCCACGGTAGCGCAGCGCCAGGAGCGTGTCCGCGGTCTCGCCTGCACGGAGGGAGGCAGGGAGGGAGGGACAAAGGAAGGGAGGGACGGCCTTGGGCCTCAGCGCACCGCGCACGGCCCCGCCCGAGTACGGCCCCGCCCGCGCCCAGCCCGCTCAGCTCCAGACTGAGGCTTCCTTGCAGTTTGCAGCCCAGCTCGTCCTGTCCTGAGCTCTCCGGACGTCCTGACCCTGTCCCGCCCCTGGGACAAGGCGAGGGGAAGCTCCCTCCAGCCCTGAGCGGCAGCTGACTGCAGGTCTGGCCGCGCCCTGCCACACCCCTAAGCTGCGTGGTCGGGACTCGAGGCTCCACAGACTCAGCAGTGAACACCCAGAACACCTCGACGCGGTGTTCCTCAAACAGATCGTGTTTGAAAGGAAACAGTTCCTGAGGCCTCAAAGTGGCCTTTCCAATAAAGCTACTTAAACAGGTTCATGCACAACCCGGGCAAACTCTGCGCTAAGTCTTAAAAATTCAACCCAGATAAACAGGAGCCAGACCACAGGGTCAAAACCACTGGAATGCACATGGGTCTCTGAGGGTGCTCCTCACAGGCGCCTCGGAGGCCGCTGCTGGGGGCTGTGTTCAGCCAAGCGCTTCGCAGTGCGGGTCGGGTCGGTGCTCGAGGGCTGCCCGGCCAGCTCTCTCCACTCCTCAGCACGCTGCAGCGCATCCAGCCTTGCCCAGCACCAGAGGTGGATGGCAGGGAAACCAGGAGGGCAGGGCAGCACCTTCGTCAGACCCGCCCCTGGTTTTATTTATATATATTTTTTGGTACCAGGGATTGAACTCGGGTCCAGCGCTTGCAAGGCAGGCGCCGGAACCACTGAGCTAAATCCCCGGCCCCCCTGGTTTTATTTTTGTGTTTTGAGACAGGGTCTAGCTATGTAGCTCAGGCTGGCCTTGAAGTTACTTGGTAAGTTTTTTCCCTGTATGTAGAGCCTCAAGGACTGACACTATTATATTTATATAAAATCCATCTCCTTTTTTCCCATACTGGAGATGGACCCTATTTCCCACCCCCGCCCCCACAGAGTTAGGGTGACAGGCTTCAGTCGCCACGCTGCACTCCATCGCCGTTCTTTTACTAACGGCTCCTGCCAACCCACGAAGTATCGTTTGGCTCTGGTGGGATGGTCCACCCAGAGGTGAGCATGGCAGTCCTTAGGTAACAGGTGGTCGGCCGGCCACACGGTGGCTGTGTCTGCTCTGGTTTTACTTAGCTTGGCATCGAAATGGAAATGGCATTGAACATTGAAAATGGAAACAGTATTAAACGCCCCTATACACACTGGAGCATGACGCCAAATTCTCAGATGTGATAATAACCTGTGGTTACATCTGGATCTTTTTTCACATATCCTGAGGTTTGTGGAGAAAAGGATGTGGTGTCTTCAGGGGCGAGGTTAATGTGGGTATGGCTGGGACAGATTAGCTGAATTGATCATTGCTAGGACTAGATGACGAATTATGTGAATTTCTCTACTTTTACAAAAATTTGGAATTCTTCATAATTACAGTGTTTCAAAAATCCTTCTAAAGCTCAAAAGCACCCCAGAGCACGTGACTGCAGATCACCTCTGGACCCAGTGCTCGACCAAGTGAGGGCAAAGGCCCTTAACTGTGCAGTGTTACCCAGGCAGGGCTTCCTCTCCTAGGGGAAGCCCCCAACCCGAGCAGTGACTCAGCGTCCCCCCTGCTGGGCAGTGTGGGCACTGCACCAGGGGGACTGCATGGCTTGGGCACAGGACCCACTGAGTCCTCAATGTGAATCTCAATCCAGAAGAATTTTGAATGAGATTTTTTTTGTCCACTAAATTAAACCCAGCAAATGTTTATGGTCCTTAAAGCGCTAGACTCGGGATGGCAGGAGCAGGGAGAAGCCACAGGGCAGGGGACAGAAAAACAATGGATCTGGATTCTCAGGCCAACTGCAGCTCTTTCACACCCCTCTCCACAAAATGGTGACAGTAGCTGATGCCTGCAAGGGTTAAATGCCTAAGGAAGGAAGGCCAGCATGTGGTATGGTGCAGAGAGAAGAGCGGGGGATGAGCTACTGCAAGTCTGGCCGTGCTACCTGCAGGCTCCCTTACCGGACTGGCTGATGAAAAAGCAGACATCATCCCTGAAGACAGGTGTGTTCCTGTCCAGGAAATCGCTGGCAAGTTCAACCATCACAGGGAGCTCGGTCAGTTCCTCCAGCACTTGTCGTGTCTGAAGACAAAAGGAACAGAGGCTGAAGTCCATCCTGGGCACCGCAGAGACGCAGGGCAGCTGGGCTTCGAGGGATCGCGTGTAACACGGTGCTGCAGGGACACACGAGAGGGGCACAGGCAGAGAGCACAGGGCAGGACCCGGTGGCGGGCACTGTAAAGGCATCACAGCTTGTCTGCATACCATGTGCTGAGAAAGGTCCCCTACCGGATGCCTGAGAGATGCGCTCCCTGTGACAGCGTCACTCACAGAGAGCCCCTCTTCTGCATGCTTTGCTGGAGCCAGAGCAAGGGCCCGAAGAGAGGCGGAGAGTCATTACCACGACCAGGCCCCTGCCCCTCAGTCACCCCCCGCCACGGGCACCACCACCGCCCTGCCCCACCGGGAGAAGAGGCCAGAAGAAAAAAGGGTGCCACCACCACCAGGCCGGGTGGCGACGAGGGGGAACACCACGCTGCAGCAAGAAGACACCAGGCAACAACACCAAGCACGCCAATAACACCACCACCCCCCACCAACCGGGGCACAACAACAACAACAACAGCGGCGTAGCAGCTGCCACAACAAACAAGCACGAGCAGCCGGCAGCATCGAAGAACCTCCAACAAGTCCTCTAACAAACCCACCAACACCACGACACAAAAAACACACCGCAGCACGGCGGCGACAACAACGCGGCTCACCAACAACAGGCAGCACAACAGGAGACTCACGAGGAGTGGGAGGACCACCGGTGGTCGCAAAAAACACCACGCCGCCCATCATAGTAAAAAAAAAGGATGCCGGCTCAAAAAAAACCTCCTGCAGAAAAAAACCAAAGAAACCACCTCAAAAAAAAAACAACAAGGAGGGGGAGTAGTAATAAAGTAGCATCACCACCACTGAACCACTATCAACCAAGAAAAAAAATCATAATAATAAGAAGAACACCAAAAAAACCACAAAAGACAACAACACCACCACCAAATAATGCGCTGCATAATCCTCCGGACAACACAGAAGAAACAAGCAGGCGCAGAACAACCACCAGCACCAGACAACACAGGACCGCCAGCACAACAAAGAAAGCAAGGAACGAGAGGAAGCGAAGAAACAAAAAACAGGCCGCCTCCTCCTCGTCCACCATCCCCCCAGCAACAACCCACCACCACCACGGAACAAAGCACCGCCGGCAGCATGCGGAAGAACTCCACAACCAAGAAAAAACACCAACAACCCCAACAACCTCATAATAAAAAACACCCCACCAGCAACAACAAAAAAAAAACACATCAACCAGCCTGCGCAGCACCACCACGCCACCAGAAGAAGACGACACGGCCACCACAAAAACAACAGGGCGGCAGCAGGGAAGCACCACCAGAGGAAGAACAGCAGGAATCAGCAGGAGGCCACAAAACACCTAGAAACCACCTCCCACCACGGCCGCCACCGACAAAACAGCACAAAACACAACAAAGAAAGGAAAAAAGAGGATGCGAGGAAGAAGCACAACAGCACGCAGCAGGAGCCGCCGTGGTGGAAGAAGCAGAACACCAGCAGCTCCGAGGAGGGTGGTGCAGCAGAGCACCGCAGGAGCAGCAGGACATAAAACTCTACGATGAGAACAACAGCAGCAACAACAACCACCAGGGCGGCCAACAAAACAACCACGCCCACCAGGACAACAAACAACAGGGAAAAAACGGAGGAGGGGGGGCAGCGCGGCGGCCAACGGCAGGGGCGGCGGGCTGCAACAGCAGGGGGGGGGGCTGCGCTAAGAACAGCAGGAAGAAGCAACAAGACAACAACAGCGGATGAATCATCTTAAAAAAACACTAAGCAGGCCGCCGAGGAAGCACAGCAGTGGCGCCGCCGCCTGCGCAACAACAACAACCACACGACTACCACCCCTACCAAAAAAAAACAACACTCAACAAACCACCGCACGGAAGGAACCACCGCCGGCAACAAGGAGGACAGCAAGAAAACAGCCGCTCATCAGGAGGAGGTCCACAACCCTCACCACCACCACCACAGAACACCTCCCCAGAAAAGAAAAAAAAATGCGGCGGGAGACCACCATCCCAAGCAGCGATGAAGCAGGCACACCAACAAGAAGACTCCTCGGAGGAACAACACAGCAGCCCCACAACACCTCAGCAAGGAAACAAACAACAAACCACCAGCACTCCCCCCCTGGCCACCACAGGCAGAAGAACACAACAGCAGCACCTCCCCCCACAACAAGGCTGCAGCAACGACCAGAAGACAACACCTGCCCATCATGAGCTCCAGCACCACCAGTGGCAAAGTCGCAACGCCCCAACATGAGTCAACACGAGCAGAACAAACCACACGCTGAACCGAGAGTGGCCCAGCACCCACCGCCCCAACACCAGCAACCCCCAGGAAGAAGAACCTCTGAGAGTGTGAGACCAGCCCACACCACACACACAAACCCAGCATAAAAAAACAAACCCCAAAACCAAAAAGAACGAACACCAGCCCAACAACAGCACCACCATCAGTGGCATTTTAAGAGTGACAGTGACATCACACTAAAAAGATCAATTTACGGTGACCCTTCCCCTCCTGTCCACACCCTCCCTCGGCTGTCAGGGTCACCCTAACCCTAACCTATCCCTAACCCATTGAAGAATGCATAGAAACATTACATGATTTCTTCTATAAACATTTTAGCTTATATCTCTAAAAGCCAAGGAATATTTTTAACCCACTAGAATACTCATATCATATCTGAAATTCATAGTTATTCCTTGATATCATCAAATATCCAATAAGTTCAAATTTCTTCTATAATCTCATGGAAGTCTTTTTATACTTAACTTTTCTTCAAATCAAGAACCAAACCTTTAGAGAATGCTCAGGAGCCAACATACTATTCGGAATTTTAAAGGGCAAGAAGAAAGCATTTATCTTGGATTTTAAAGCAGTCTGACCTTTAGAATAACTCCATAGTTATTAAAACAGGTTTCTCTTTACAGAAATAATATAGCCAGTAAAAAAAAGAATGACAGAATGAGAATTATTATTTTAGGAACTCCTCATTATTACTAGTTGTACTCAAGGATCATCCATGGCTAATGAAACTGGAAGGTAAAAAGCTGAGAAAGTTTTATAAGGGATGGATAAGGCTGGCAATACTTGAACCCCTGATCGATCGTAGTACAAAAAGACAGACAATGAGACATCAGGTGCCTCCCGGAGGGAAGACACACCACCACCTATGTAATCTTGCAGAATAAGATTCAAACCTAAATTAAAAATTGAATACGATCAAACTTGTAGACAAACGTAAACTCATTTACAGAAAACACAATGGACAGAAGATTCTGTTAAATAAAACTGTGGGGGTGTACTCAGAAAAATCCAGAGGGCAGGAAGCCCGAATGACCCAGTTTCTTAAGACACATACACACAGACAGAGCAAGACCCAAAGGGGACAAGATACGCTCTTCACTGAAATATGAGGTCACTGTGTTTATTTTTATAACTTTACACTAATGAGAAGTAGTAAAGATTTTTCCCTTCTGTCTCAGTTGCTTTTTCTTGTTGTTGAGGCAAAATACCCAACACCCAAAGTTAAAGGAAGAAAGGTTTATTTAGCTCACAGGTTGTACAGGTTTCAGTCCAAAATCGGCTGGCTCCAAGCACGGCAGAGGAGAAACAGTTCATGGCAGGCAGAAGACAGCAAAAGCACGCAACAAGAGACAAGTGGCAAGCCTCTTTCTGTTCCTTATATTGTACCCAGGCTGCAGCACTCACATCTTTAATCCCAGCACCCTTAATCCTACCACTGTACCACGAATCAATCCCAGCGTCACCCACCCCAGATCCAGCTACTCTGAAAAGCCCCACCTATAACTGCATGAGGCTTTGGGGGGAGATCTAGACAAGCCGTAACACCTTCAGATTGTGATAGGAGTTTTAAAAATAAGTTTAGGTTAGAAAAGTGGGTGAATAAAAACTACGCATGGTCAACAGCACAGGTCACACAAAACCACAAAAGCAGTACTGGGGAACTGGGGAGGGGGGTTCATTCCACCATGGACCACATCCACTTGCCTCTCTAAAAAAATGCAAACCCCTGGGACAAAGTCAAAAAGCGCTATGGCTCTAAGAAGAGTTATCTCCACTCAGATTCTAGGGGAAAAGATAAAGGATAGAAAGCTACTGTACTAGAAAAAGATCTTAAATAATACACACCCACTATATAGGAAGTAAAAAATACAGTGGAAGAAGTAGAAATGGCCTGGATCACATCTCCGAGAAATATAACACTGCTGACATGGTAGCACTGCCCTGCTGCAATGCTTGATCCATGTGCGTCTATATTTACATGTGCAGGTTGAAATATAACTACTGTTTTAACTTACAGAACAGATGGCAACACCATCCAGTCACGAGGATCACTGCTGTGAGGATTAAATCACCTCTATCGACCTGGGAGCTCTCCGAGATGTCTCGGGCCCCTGCTCCATGGGACGGAGGTGAGCTCTGCGCCCTCAACTGGGGTCCGCTGTGGCGACTGAGGAGGCCCCGCACAGCCCCTGCACACAGGCCAGCCCCGCCAGGGCGCCACATGCTGTCTGCATGGCGGGGAGGGTGCCCGGTGTGGGTGTGTGAGCCCGACACACACACGAGATGTAATCCCCGAAGATGTGCGTGAACAGTATTTGGAGGTGGCACCTTTAAGAGCCAACTGGGTCACGAGGGACGAATGGATTAATGGGTTACCATGGGAGTAGTTTTGTTAGGCAAGTGCACTCTCTGTCTTGCTGGGGGCTGCCCCTGCTGTGTCGAGAGGCAGCTAGAAGACACTTCATCCTCCCCTGGGTCTAAAGCTCTTGTTCTCATCAACCCACAAAACAGTAATTTTTGAGAACTTCTGATGCAGCAAGAGTTGCCAATACCATGCTCTCAGACGTCCCAGCCTCCAGAACCATGAGCTAAATTAGTCTCTAGTTTTACAAACTGCCTCGTCTTGAGTATTTTGTCACAGCAACAGAAAATGGACTAACAGCGGGTTTTCCTGTTTATATACTACAATTATAGAATCACTTTTTTACATTTTAAAAACATAAGCAAACAAAAGAACCTTGAGGGTTTTAATTATAGCACAGAATTTGTAGATATGGGGGCGAATCAAGATTTTTAAATTTTTTATTTGTTAAATTTTAAAATTTAATTCTCCTAACTTTAAAGTAATGTTAAGCCCAGCTGAGCTCAGATCTGCTAGTTTTTGGAGGGAAGTTAGAAATGAGAATGTGGAATCTGTTCATGTATTCAAGTCTCTTCTTGTTTCTCAGTGTAAATTTTTGTGGTCTTCTCCAAACATTTTTGCAGCTATTTTTATTAAACGTTATTCTAAGAAATCTAATTAAAGCATTTTCCTTCAGCTGTGGCGAGTAGTACTGCTTTCTGTCTAACAAACATTTGCAGAGAGCCTGCCGTGCCTGGTCGGGTAAGGACTCCGAGGGACAAGGCAGGCACAGCCGTCCCTGCCCCGACAGTGGAGGGTTTAGCAGCGGCTGCTGGGATTAGGCCTCGCTCACCTCTTCGAGCCGCCAGGGTTAGTGCTAACAGCCTTTCCACTGGAGTCCAAGTGTATCATTACATTGCCTACAAATCATCATCTCGTCTTCCTCCAGGCACTCATGCCTTTTCTAATTTTGAAACATCTAACATATTTCTTTCAGTATCAAATTTCTTTGATTGTAACTTAGGTACCACTGAGTGTAAGATCACAATTATTTTGCATGCTTCTAAGAAATAAAAAGTTCAGCAAATTATAATTTCAAGATGCCACTTATGGATACAAAAATAATTGTATGCAAAACAATTGTGTGTCTTGGGATCAGTAAAATAGTATTCGCTTCTCACTGAAACGACGCTTTAGGGAACAGTTAGGGAAGCACTGCCCTTCGCTCAGTGTTGAAGATGATGCGGCCTGGCCTCTTGAAACGGGTCTCAGCCCTGCCTCTGGTTTCCTGTCTCTCCCTGCTTCCCAGGAGAGTGGGCCCGGAGTCCTCCCCGCCCAGAACAGGACCCTCCTGGAGGTTAGATGGGAGAGAAAAGCCACACAGAATGGAAAGAAACTTGGATGAAGGAGGTAACGCTGATACGTACAGCAGCTTTCTATTTATAGCAAGAAAGTATTTTAGTTCGTTCTCTCTCTCTCTCTGTATCTCTCCTTTCCCCGCTCTGACCTTCCCATCCCCACCTTCCTCACGTGTGTGTGTGTGTGTGTGTGTGTGTGTGCGCGTGTGTGTGTGACGTAAGGAAAGAGTTTTGTTTCAAAAATTATTCTTTTTTTTTTTTTGGTAGCAGGGATCGAACCCAGGCCCTTGTGCTTGCGGGGCAGGTGGCAAAAAATTATTCTTTTGAGAGTCGATGAGAGCTTGAGCTTTACCCCCGACTGTACAAGCCCTGACTCTCTGGCCTCTGATTGAGGACAGGTCTGACACCAGGCAAAGGCGGGGTGCAGTGAAGGAAGGACTGAGGCCTGTGCCCCATCAGGAGACGAAAGTGGAGCCCTCCAGACAGCGAGGGCAGGGAGCACAGCCCCAGGAGCTCCGATCAGTTAGGTTTTCGAAGAAGCTAGAAATCCAGGTTTTTATGTGAACTCTCCCAATTCTGAGATGTTGACAACTGATTCCATTTTCCCACGAGGTCCCAAACAGCGGCTCAGTGGCTCTGGGCTGTGGCCCCGGGGCAGCCCACAGCAGAAACACAGAGCCCAGCCCCAGGAGGGTCGGGAGCAGGGGCACTGGGGCCTGGGCCGTGCCGGGTGTGAGAAAATAGCTCAGATGGGGTGAGCAGATGGCGGGCCAGGGATGCTGCTCCGCTCCGAGGCAGAGCACTTGCCTGCCCTGTACAGGGCCCGCCGCTGGCATGCGGGGGGGGGGGGGGCGCGGAGACAGTGGTAGGCAATCACTTACTGTTTACATAATCCCAGGAAAGGAAGACGAAAAGGTTTTGTTACCTTGCATCAGAAGCAAAGAAGAATTCCACGGCTTTGTCGCCCACAGCGTGAAGGCAGGTGGAGCTGTCCAGCCTCTTCATCCTCTTTTTACAGATATTCTTCACATTCTCAACATTGCCTAGTAAATAAAGGAATCGACTGCAAACCCCCAGAGCCTACTTCATTTGCATAACATGTGGCAAGGAACCCATTTCCCCTTTGAATATGCGTGGGAGAAATTTGCAATTTTTAGCTTTGGTTGTGTCAGCCAAATCATGTAAAAGCTCCCCAAATAGCACAGCACCACTGCAAGAGCATTTTAATGGCAAGCAAAAACAAGCCGAAGAAATGCTTGATCAGGGTACCCTGGCCATTACGCCGAGCTGCATGCTGTTCCATTTCTGTCTGTTTGAAAATATCCTCAATGAAAAGCTTTTAGAAAGATGGAGCTGAGTCTGCATAAACTCTTTTCGATCTGGGGCCCATGCCAACTGAGTGCCAGTCAGACAGAGGCCTGCCCACCTCAGAGGGCAGCTGGTGGCCCAGGGCAGCTGCTGAGCCTGAGACACTGGCCCTCACTGTTCAGGTCTGCCTGGGGAAGCTTACATGTCCTGTATAAGACGGGGATCTGCTCCGTGGAGAGTTTGTATTTGCTGCGCACTCCGATGAGCAGTGGGCTGCCTCTCCTGGAGGGAGAAGCAAGCATCGTTAGCCATGCCACCGACACCCCGGGCTGGGTGTCCTCCTAGCACCCGAGGTGGAGTCCCAGAATCCAGCCCTATCCCTGGAGCAGAGAATTGTTTGGGTCCCATAGGGTGGACACCCTGACCACAGATGTTCCAAGGCTCGGTCAGGGACCTCAGGCCAGCATGTGATGCAGCTCACGAACACTGTGTCACCCACCTGCCCCACAGCCTGCGGACCCGTTCCCAGCTTAGCAGGACTCTCGACTCCTGCAGCTCACGAATCCCCACAGGTGACTCACCCCACCCCCGGGTGGGTTGCAGTGGCTGGGTGCTTACATCAGAACAAACTCTGACAGTGTAAGGAGCACAGGGTCTCCGCTCCACCTTCATCAGCCCTGCTCTGCAAAAGCAGGTGCGCTCGATGCCCAGGAGCAGCCGAAGACTCCCATTTGTGTCCCCTTTCACCCAGCTCAGGTGTCCTCTCGCTTCCTGGGCCCCCAGCTAGGGACTTCTGAGTGTTCAGCTGGCGCCTCCAGACTCAACCCAATACAGATTGAAAGTATTTGGAAAAAATGCCTTGGTATTGAACACATACAGATTTTGGGGGGTCATTATTCACTAAGCAATAAAGTATAACAACTATTTTTATAACACATTTCGTTAGGATAAGTAATCTAGAAGTGACTTGAAGTGTATGGGAGGATATGTCTAAGTTATATGCATATATTATGCCATTTTATTTTTATGTTTTTCAGGGCAAGTGGTTCATCCTTCCCTTTTTCCCCCCTCCCTCCCTCTCTCTCTCTCTCTCTCTCTCTCTCTCTCTCTCTCTCTCTCTCTCTCTGTGGATTAAAAACAAAACAGAGGGCCTCACACATGCTATCAAGTGCTCCACCACTGAGCTACCTCCCCAGCTCTTTCTAGGTTTTATTTTGAGAACGGGCTCTTGCTAAGTTGCCCAGTCTAGCCTCAAACTATGATTGGCCTGACTCAGTAGCTAGGATTACAGGAAAGCTATACCATTTTTATAAGGGACTTGACCATCCAGGGATTTGATATGTGCAGGAGGACTGATTCCAGGACCCCTGGAGATGCGGATGGAAGACTATTCAGCTTTGTGGGCTACTTAAGGCAATTTCCAGGTGGTTTTCTCTGCCTGAGTGACATTTCATAGATGAAGTTTAGAATCTTTGACCTATACAACACGAACTTGGTCATGAAAGAGACCATGGTTTTCCCCGGGTATGATCTTGGGGGAATTTCTGTAGCTGAGCAAGGGAGAACTCGGGTCTCCTTCCTGCCAGCACCTGGCTCTCTGAGCACAGTGGAAGGGCTTTATGATATTCCCTTCTGATCCACAACTTCTACTAGTGAATGCGTTTACGGTATTATTCCACGAATTTTAATGGCATCTTGCCTTTAAAATCTACTTCTTTGTTCCTCCTTAGAAATTACAACATACAAATAAAATTTATAATGGATGCGCATAAAACGGGAGGATCACTTCTGTAGCTCACATACTCGAGACCTCCGATTCTTAGAATCCAGGAAGGTAAAGTTGCTCCTTTCCCCTGTGGGATATGTTCTAAGACTGCTGGGTGGATACCTAAAACTATGGATAGTGCCAAACCCTATATATCAAAGATTTGCTATACATACATAACATCTATGATGTTTAATTTATAAATCAGGCACATTAATAGACTAACAGTAACTAATAACAATTACAACAATACACTGTAATAATAAATGCTATTTTAAACTTATAATTGCTTATTTCTGGAATTTCCCACTGAATCTTGCCCGTAGGTAACTGAAATTTTGGAAAGCAAAACTGGGTAAGGGGGACGCCTATAGTTACTAAGGAATGTGAGCTTTTTATCCACCACATGTTAACTTACAGAGACGAGAACAGAGGGCTAGGGTCAGAGCTGAGTGGTAAAGCATGTGCCTAGTGTGCAGAGTTTGATCCCCAGCACCAAAACAAATAAGCAAAAAACTCAAAACACACTAAGACTGTTTTCATAAGACCATTTATAAGAGCTGTATCAGACATTTTAACGCAGTATAATGGGGCAATATTTTACCTCAGGCAATTCCCTACAAATGTAGATCAATGAACTAATGAACAATTGTCCATTAACCTGAATCCAGCCCACATATATGCATTTGGTCTGCTAACCTGACTCAGTGCAGATCCTTAATATTTGCTCAGGTCTAAGAGGCCTTGGTTTCCAGTAGAGTTGATCTGTTTGATCCCTCTTTTGACTTCTTGAAGTATGGTGGAAAGTTCGTAGCATTGATACAGGTGCTGTGAGCACCCTGAATATTTTGGAGTCTTTTATTGTGACTAAAGCAGATCAGAGACAGTTCCAGGTCCACAGAGAACTAGCTCCAACTGCCTTCCCAATAATGCCTGTGAGGAAGTGTATGCTTATCTACTCTTCTTGGCAAATGGCACCCCCAAATCTTATTGCTGTAGATTGAACTCTGTGGTTTCTCGAGACTTTGAGACAAAGAATTCTCCCAAGATATCCAAAAGATTGTCCGGGAGGCTACAGAGCCAATAGTAATAGGCAATTTAGAAAAATAAAGCGATATTGCTTCTTCATGCTGCCTTCTGCAGCCATTTTAAATAGTAATAGCAGATACCGTCATATTTTAAGGAGCCTTCTAAATTTAATAGCAGCCAATCAGTACTTTATAATTCTGTGATAAAATTAGAAGGAATTAAATTCTAAATGTTAAATTAGTTCCAGTCCTAGGAAAAATAAAATCATGCTAAATTCGTATCATTTCCTGCACAGTTACTCTCAGAGTCTTCGAAGGACAGCTTCAGCCTCTGTCTCAGCCTCCCAGGACCTCAGGAGCACTCTCCTTGGCTCCCCTGGGCTTCAGCAGGAAGCCTGCAGCCCAGCATGGCCCTTTAGAGTGGATCCTCCTCCCACGTGTCCAAGCCCTACCAGCGTGAAAACTGCAGGGGCCACGTGCACCCCAGCTGTGCCCTGCTGTCCTCCACGCCTGGCCCCGGCAGACATCTGTAGGCACACTCTGAGACCAGAAGTCCCCCAGAGCCCCTCTGCCCTCCACCATCCCCAACACCCCACCGAGTGCTGTCTCATCCTGTAAGACGATGCTCTTGCTGTCTGCCCCTAGGATGGCATCTGCTCCCCCTGGCTCCCGGGGCACAGGCCCTGCCAGCCCCATCACAGATCATCAGAACCCTCTGCCCTTCTCCGTCTTGTCCCCAAGAGCAGAGACCGGGTCAGGTGCCACCAGGTCCCCAGGAACCAGCACACAGTGAGTGCTCAACAAACACTGGATGGAATATGAAATATAACACTGCAGGATGGCACTCAGTCTGCTTCTGTGAATTCAAGCGGTGCTGGGCACCACGGAAGGGAGTAGGACCGAGGGACATGTGGTCTGATCCCAGCTCTCCGGGCTGATTCAGGGATGCCCCTGACATGAAGGTGATGAGACCTTCAAGGACAAGTTCTGAGCCTTCAAGGGCTTTCCAGCACTGAGTCTAAATCTATGTGCACTTTGGTTCTCAGTTCCATGTTCATAATTTTGCCTGCTTTTACATAGAGGGACATCTCCAAAACTGGATACGCTTCAAGCCCCGCAAAACCAGGGTCTGGCCCCACTGTACAGTTTCATTTTTCATTTGAATTTGTTGTCAACATCTAAAAATCTGGAGATCTCTCACAAAAATCCAACTTTCTGGTTTTTTTTTTTTTAAAAAAATTAGGTGCTGTAGTACCACCGGTGACAGAGATGGTGGGGTGCCTTCTCTGGGTTGAGCCACAGTTGTGCCTCAGATCCAGCAAAGCGCCTTCCAGTTAGCCCAAGGGCCTACCCTCCCATCCTGCCTCAAGCCAGGTGATTTCATCTCATGCACTTATTTATTATGGAGATCTCAATGAATCGGCCTCACCTTGTGGCTACCGCTTCTCCTGGGTAGTGCAAGCTCTTGAAAACCAACGCAAACGCGCCTTCCTGGAAGCACAGGAGAGAAGGGTGAAGGGTGCCCATCCTGCACAGAGCAGCTGCTGCAGCCTGCTGCCCGGGCAGTCTCCCGACCCTTCTTCCTGGCAGGTAGTCCTGGGGTCGGTCACTCGGGGCACCAAACGTAGGAGCAGCTTGTGCAGGAAGAGGACAGGAGAGAACAAAACAGAAGCACACTGCAGTGGCAAAGACCAGAACTTGTGAGTTTCATGACGAGCAGCATAAACCTCATGTGTTTGGGGAGACCCACCGGGCCCAGCAGGGATGCCCACCCCTGGAGCCATCTGGAGGCATGGGCGCAACTGAAACTGCTTTCTCCTCCTGGGAGGGGCCGCCTCTTGGACAGTCTCCTCAGTGTGAGGGGACTTTGCTCCCTGGGTCTAGCCCTGTGGGACATCCAGTTTCTCTTGCTCTCTCCCCCAGATCATTCCCTTCAGCATGGAGACGTGCTCTGCTATCTGCTACGTATGCTGTCATAAGCACAATCCTCCCTTGGAGGCCCAACCCTCTCCTGTCTCTGGGCCGTAGGTTTGCACTCTTCTAAAATCAAACAGCTCAACTTTCCCTGCCTGTCTCCCGCAAGGCCCTTGCTGTTGGGTGTCACTGCCCACATCACAGCACTCTCTACTCCACGGGATGTAGCACCCCAAGGGCAGGCATTTTAGGGGGGCCATCGTTCATCCTCAGTCCTTTCATCCTTAGTATTATGTGCAAATTTGCCTGATAAATGCTTATGAAAAATGAAGGAATAAAGGAATGATTTAGGAAAATAGGACCTGTAACTCACCAACTGCTGAATGACTCTCTCGACCAGTGTTGAAAAAGTAATGTCCTCAGTTTCCCTGTTGTCAAACACGTATTTGATCAGCTTGGCGATGGTCTCTGTGTCTGTTTCCGACTCAAACTCGTAGCCTTTGCTTTCCTGGAACATGGGGTTGGACATGAGGTGACAGATCATGGTCACTGCACAATGCTGGCCTGGCCAACCCCTTCTGGTCCCTTCTGATTTGACTTAAGGCGAGAACAAGTACAACTGGGAAGGGACAAAAAGTGTTTGCCAGAATCACACAGCCAAGTGCTTCTGAGTCATCTCAGTATTCCTTGAGATCATTCTTCTTTGGGAACTTGTCCTTGCCAGTAATCTGGATATTGCAAAATACCAGCAGTCAAAATGATAACTTACGTTGGATCAAACTGACCACATCCCGACCGACACCATACAAGCTTTCGATATCCGGAACACTCACCGTCTGACTTCCCACCCGCATTCCAGCTGGTATACGAGTCCCGCGGCCACTTCACTGAAACCAATTCATGCTACTCTGAGTCTCTGACGCTGTAGTCGCCCTTGATAAATGCGAATGCCCTGGCTTCTCCCTAGGCAGGATCTGAGCCGGGAGGCTCAGGGGGCTGAGGCTGATGCTGTGTGACATGGCCGAGGGTGAGTCTCCCTCCGCTGCTGCACTTGGTGCGGAGGGAAATGAGCTGGTTGGGAAGTTTCTGGGGAAATCAAGACCACTCGATCCAGACGTGGCCCAGGGAAATGTCTTACCAGAAATTTCCTCAGATCTTTGTAATTTGTGATGATCCCATTATGGATGACAACAAATTCTGAAAGAAAAGTTTGGTGAAGAGGAAAACGCTGTCAAGAAATGAAGTTCACCTGCCTCGCAAGCGCAAGGTCCCGAGTTCGATCCCCAGTACCAAAACAAACAAACAAACAAACAACAAAAAAACCCAAGAAATGAAGTTCAAGTCAGATGTGAAAGAAAATGATTTGATGGCTTGCAAGCACTCTGGAAACTGACTCCTACAAAGACTTCTGTTAAGCAAGCTTTGTTCACAGTGATCAGGACTGGTATCTGCAATGTCTTTCAGTGACAAGACCACCAGCCTGAACTTGCAGAAAGTTCTTACTGCATTCTACAGGATTTTCAAATATGTCTAGTGAGGGATAAGTAACTCATCATGGCCCAGAAATGACTCCAGTCCTTTCCACCAGGACTTTGACTCAAAGGAGTCACAAACTAATGGCTTGCAGATGTGCTTTATTTGATTCACACTGTATTATAAAAATATTTGAGTTTAACACTTTCTGAGTTTCACTTTAAAATCCTTAGGGGAAACCCCTGAAGTTGTGAGGTCCCTACGCTCCCCAATTTTCCTGTGCTGCTCTCTAGCCGGATGAGCCCGGCAGCCTCTCCCACCCTGGGCCCCCGGGGCACACCCCTTGCTGTGGGGGCTCCCTGCACAGGGGGGACCTCCGTAGACCTGGGAGGCCAGGGGGTGAGGGTTCCTCTGCGTCACCAGCACAATGCCTCAGTAAGTGGCTGAAGAGTGAGGAGCAGGAGGGCAGGCACTACCCGGACTGACAGTGGAGGAGGACAGTAGACCCTTCCCTTCATCCTGGATGGGGGTTCCCTATTCCTCGGGATCTGGTAATTATCCGCGATTGTCTGGATATCAGGTACCAGGTACCTTCAAAAACACTCTATTATTCACTGACCTTTTGTGCTGTGTCTCCAATTCAAATTTTTTCTTCCGCTATTTTTTCTGTTTCACATTTTAAAACTTTTTCTGTTGGTTTTTTCTTTATGTTGGTCACCATAACTTCTGCTTTTTTTTTTTTTTTAAAGAAAATCTGTTGTCGTGCAGTCACACAAAAAAATGAGAGGGCTTGAGTAGGACAGGCCTATGCTTAAAACATTACCATTATGTGTTGAACTATGTATCACACGGTGCCCTGTAAACATGTACAATTTTAGGGTTTTTATGTATCAGTCAAAAAATAAGTTTAAATTTAAGAGAGAGAGAGAGCCCAGTTCCAGCGGGCGTGCTGGTCTGGCCACAGCTCCGTAGAGGTTTTTCTTTTTTTGCTCTTCAGTTTGTTTGTTTGTTTGTCTGTTTGGGGGGCAGTTCATATTTTGGATCTCTTTGACTGACTGTCTCCCTCCCTTTCTCCAGGGTTTTGCTTTTCATCATATCTATTGTGGGATTACTTCTTTACATTATTTTCGTAACTGTCACATTTTTCTTTCATCTTAGACTTATTTATTCCCTAGAGTTCGCATTTTCCTTGCAAAAGCTTTCTTTTCCCATTGTGGGACTGAACCAACAGCTTCACCCCACTGAATGAGGCCCGCAGCCCTGACAAAACGTCTGTGTGATTTTCCCCGCTCTCCAGCGTCACGGAGGAGCCCTTGCTCTTGGCTTTGCTGCTTTTAGTTACTCATCCTGAGTCACAGCAGGAGCCCACACTTGCTCAGAGGGACTTCTTGGAGGCTTTCTGCTCTGAGGCCACAGCAGGAGTTACTGTCTGCACTGAAGTGGGGGTCTCTGGTGGGGCTCACTGTGACCTTAGGGTGGAGGTGGGAGGCCGGAGCTACACTGCAACCTCACAGGGCACATGGTCTTGGCAGTGTTTTCTCAGCCGACACTGCATGACGCGGGGTTTGGCCAAGTCCTCGGCCCCACAGGCTCTGCTGTCCTTATCCTGGCTACAGGATTCTTGCTTAGCTGTGGACGCTGCGTGGTTCAGGACCAAGCCAGGGAAGATCCCCCAGCAAAACCCCCCCGGCCAGATTCGGACCAGGCAGACACCCTGGAATCCCAGGCCCCAGTGCTGCCTGCAGCTGCTCCGTGCGCCTTCTGCTCCCTGAACCAGGCTGGCGAGCCACTTCGAAGTGCCCTGGAGAGAAGCTGCACCACGCTCCCAACCTCGTGTCGGCGTGGGGCACTTGGCCTTCCTGCCCGTGCTGCAGTGTTGCCCTGGGTACCCTGGCCCACAGTGGGTGAAGGAACCAAGCAGGGAGGTTTTGCTCTTCCTGGCATCCCTTCATGAGGAGGAACTGCATGAGCTAAGTGCTGCCAGGAAGCCCTGCAATGAACTACTCTCATGTTTTGATCCTTACTTGAACGTGAAGTGAGGCAAGGGCTTGCACTACACCAGGAGCTGTCTCAGGATGGGGACCCTGGCCGACTCCTGAAATCTTTTTCTCTGGGGCACACCGCGCCCGTCACACCCGCGTATGGGTCTCCAGGGCCTCTACCTGGCCAGGCTTGATCCGAATGGCCCAGCTCACTCTCACCCTCCTGCCTGCCCTTGAAGGAGTTAAAGATGAAATCCTCTCACACCTCACTATGTCCAAACTGTAGGCGGCCTTCGCACCCTGGCCTGAGGGCCCGAAAGAGCTGCCCCTGGGAGCTCCAGGCCTGCTCTTCTCTTCCCCAGGAGAAGGCCAGACGTCATTTAAGGGAACCACAGCATGGAGAGCCATCTGGCAAGTGGCGTGGACCCGTGATCTGAGGCTGACATGAGAGGAAGTTGGCAGAGCTGAGCAGCCCAAAACCCAGCAAAGACTGCCACGAGCAGTGCCCCTTCCCTGCTCTGTGGCCCTGGTCCACTGCCAGTCAGTACTGGACTTGTATGTATAATAATTCTCAATTTTTCAACACAAAGCAAGCTGAGTTGAGGGTGTTGCTGCTGGGAAGTGCTCTGCTCTGGGGCTGGCAGGTGCAGCCCCTCCTCCATTGTAAGCTCTGCGCTGCTGGAGCAGGCACCCAGGACCCTGACCGAGACTAGCAGTGTCACCTGCCCTCACTCAGGACCACTCCCTTTGGGGAAGCAGGTGGGTGTAGGCGGACAAAGAAGGTGCACGCCTTCCCTTTAGATCCCAGGCCTCTCTCGGGGCTGGAGCCCTGGACCCGCAGCCTGCTGCTGTGAGAGGTGGTAGGGTTTTGAGGGGGAAGTTCTTTGCAGCTGAGCTCTCAGAAGGAACCGATGCCCTTCTCAGGGCCCCTGTTAGTTCTGGTGAGAGTGGGCTCCAAGGTGAGGCCACCCCACTCGCTTGGCCCCTCATGCATGCACACAGCCAATTCCCACCTTTCCACCATGCTGGGCCGAAGCCGAGGGGCCCTGATCAGAGAGCACCCAGATGGCCTCACCTGGTCATGAACTGCAAGCTAAATAAGCCTCCTCTCTCTGTGCAGTACCAGCTTTGGGTATTCATTATAGCAGTGGAAAATGGGCTAATACACACCCATAGCCCCTCCCAGGCTGGTTCCAAAGTCCCAGCAGCCCTCCTGGCAGTCTCCTCAGGCTCCTGTGGGCACGAGGAGGTCAGCAGCACCCCAGGGCCAGCTGAATTTGCATCTGACTGAGGCCCAGGGCCAGTGCCAGGGCTTTAGGAGAGGGAATGCCTGGATTATCGTGGGAGGACAGGGCGGGGAGAAGAGGCGGGCATGAAGCCCACTCTGCTCGGAGCATCCCTGACACGTAGGATGAGGCAGGGACACGGACGCAGGCCAGACTACATACCGTTCCCTTTGTCTGAGCGCTGAGGGTGGCTGTTGACAGCACTGGGGACCCCGTGGGTGGCCCAGCGCGTGTGGGCAATGCCAAAGTGCGTCTCAAACTCCACCTTCAAGTCCATACTCTCTTGTTCTAAATGAAAGAAAAATCAGTTCACTGCCTTTTAAAAACGACCATTGACACCAAACTGTTAAGATAAAAGGGTTTCGCTACATCACGGCACATCAGCTATGCCCACAGCAACTCTTCGCCATCGATCCACACGCCCTGCCCAGGGGGTCTGCGCCACACCTGCACTGAAGTTTGCTTAGTTCTAACTCAAGACCAAGTTTACTTCGTTCTTATCAGCATGCAACTCATTTCTTAGCCAGCACAAACTGCCTGTGAAAAGAAAATGCGGCTGGACACGAAGCTCAGTTGGAAGGGTGCTTGCCTAGCACGAATAAGGACCTTGGTCTGATCGTGAGCATCAAAAAAAGAGGGGGGAAAAGCAGAATGAAAGAAAAAGATAGATCACTACTGTAAGTAAAAAAGCAGTATCATTTGCCAGAAAAATTAAAATAAATACATAAAAATTTAAAAAATTTAAAAGTTCTCCATGTGCCACTACCTAAAATAAACCATCCCACACTCGGTGAAATAGTTTTACAATGTGGTTTCATTCAATGTGCTACTCATTCAAGCTTTGACACACTCATATTTTTAGTGGTGAATGCTGTAAGAATAAAAGCTTTCAGGGGGTCCATTCTGTACTGGTTATGCCCACAAAAAGCATTTTCCACCTACTGTAAAGTTCTTCATCCAAAGCCTTCACTTTGCCCTTTTTCTTGACCAGCTGGATGTGTCTTTCTTTGACTTCATGATTATTGCCATCAATGGCCACACCTGTAGTTTAAACATTCATTTCTTTACACTTTAAATCTTTTGTTGAAGTATAATTCATAGACAGCAAAAAGCACTCACCAGTGAGTTTGGAAAGTGTGCACGCTATCCTGACCCACACCCCAGCAAGATGCAGAGTAATCCCATCATCTGTCTTTCCACCCGATTTCCCCACCCTAGAGGGGAACCACTGTCCACATTTGCACCACAACAGACTAGTTCTGCTGGAATGTCACGAAACTGGAACCACAGGGAGCACTTTTCCAGTGGAATGTGCCTCCTGTCTCCCTCAGCACAAGGTACAGCCCACCCTCCACCCCATGCTCCTGCACCCACCGGACAACCGACCACCGAGCAAAGATATTAAAAACACACAAATCCAGCTGCACCTGTACCGAACACATACAATGCTTTTTCTTGTCATTATTCCTTAAATAAAACACTGTAACGACCACTTACATATAGCATGCCCACTGTATTAGGTCTTGTAAGGAATGCAGGGATTTTAAGAAATCAAGTGATGATTTAAAGTGTACAGGAAGATGTGGGCGGGTTTGATTGCGTCGTTTTATGTGGGACCCGAGCGTCTGCTCGTGTTAGCATCTGCAGGGTCCCCGGCACCAGGGGCCCACTGACACTGAGGGCCAGCTCCACTGCCGTGGCAGGCACTGGGTGTAAGTGCTGTCTGTGCAGGGAGGGGTGGGACTGACTCATCTCCGACCTGGGAGGAAACCCAGGTCCCCTCACACACCGGAGTGCACTCTACCACTGAGCTACCTCCCTGGCCCCTGCAATTTTACATATATATTTTCACTTTTCTACTATCCTAACCTCTTCCTAAATATCTTTCTAACTGGCCACACAATTCTCCGCTGGATAGCTGACTCAGGGTCTCCTCCACCACTTACCAACAGGTAACTATTTAACCTGTTTCCCATTTTTAACTAAGCAGCCAGAAGAGAAAAGGAGAGCTAGGTAATTTCATATCCCTAACAGTTCTTAACAGAAAGCAAGTCAGGGAAAAGGCTGAAGGCAGACCAGTAGGGGGCAGGTAGCAGACAAGACATCACAATGCGAAGAGCAGAGGACAAATGCCCTTGACTGAGACTACAGCTCAGTGACGGCGAACCTTTTAGAGACCGAGTGTCCAAACTGCAACCCAAAACCTACATAGTTTACTGCAAAGTGCCAACCCTGCAATTAAACCTGAATACTGAAGATTTAGTTTAGAAAAAACAACGCGTAGGGGCGGGGATTTAGCTCAGTGGTTCTGCCGCCTGCCTTGAAAGCATAAGGTCCCGAGTTCAATCCCCGGTACCAAAAAAAAGAAGAAAAAACAACACGTACGTTAACATCTTTTGTCTTAAAATAAAAGAGCTTTCAATGATAAAAACAGCTTCGTATTGAAAGGTAAAAGTTTGCATTCGGTGTGCTTTTGCACAAGTAACGTGATCTTTGCTGTTGTGTGTGTGCTGGTACTGTGTCAAACCCTGGATCACACTTCCTTAGTCTGAGAGCAACACATGCAGCGCTCGGGCCATCTGTTAGTCGCCTGTGCACAGCCCCAGAGTGCGCTGTTATCTGATGCTCGGTCCCTGGGATGAGCGAGGCTGGGGCGACTTGGCCGGCGTGCAAGGAAGGGCTCTGTGCTACTGCGGCACACGTGCCACAGGTTCGCCAGCACTGCTGTCGCCTTGGTGATAGGTGTGGTGGCCAAGCCCGAGGATCCAAGCACACTTCTCCTGGCTGACCGTGAAGGACTGCCACAGTTGTGGCTTCTCTCAAAATAGATTTCCTGAAACCTAGGTAATTATCCTGTGATTAGCTATACCGGAGAACAAGAACTGTTACTGGAAAACACAATGTGGAGTATTTTTCACAGAGGTTTTAAAACTTTTATTTCTTCTTTTCTATAGTTTTCTGCACTTTTCTATAGTCTTCAAATATCTTTAATGAACAACTGCTATTTTTATATTGAAAAGAAACATTAAGAACTACCAGAAAAAAGGCCCAGGTTGTGAGAAGTGCCACCACGAAGAAAATGGGTGAGAGAAGAAGAGGCCACGTGACGTCCACACAATGCCCGCGACCACCAGGTCACCTGTGGCACCTACCTGCCGAGTCATAGCCTCTGTACTCAAGACGCTGCAGGCCCTTGATGAGCGTCTCAAAAATCTCCCTCCTTGTCCGGGGGACTCTGTAGTTCATGTAAGCGAAAATTCCTGTTGAAAGAGGAAAAAATATGTGACGTTAAGAAAACACTCAGATTGCATTTAGAGCAAAATACTTCTCAGGAAACAGACAAGGTGGCATCTCAGGAGGGCTCCAGGGCTCCCTGCAGAGGAGAACGCCGCCCTGCCTGGGATCACTGAAGAAGAATGACGCTCCCTGCCTGCTCCGGACACGTGTTTACTCAGCTGCCCCAGGAACAAAGCTCTCCCGAACTGTGTTCCACCTCTTAGCCTTGCAACCCCACTACAGAGAATGCACCCTCTGGATGCACTTGCAAGAAGATACTTTCAGTGTGGGACAGTCTGCAAAGGTTAGCAGAGGAACCTAACTGCCTAGGCACATTCTGAAGTGCCACCTCCGCTTTGACTGTCACAGAAGACGCCTGGGGAGTCACGAGGAGGTCCGCAGGCCCCTGTGGCAAGGAGGGACAGGAGCTTTGCTTCTGCCTTCCACTCGATGGCGCGGCTTGGGTGTGAGTGTAAGTAAACACCACTGTAATAACAGCAGGAACAAATCTACCTCAGGTTCCCCCGGCCCCTGGAGAACCCTTATTGCAAGGTAGGTAGCAAGGCAGGAAGATTTGATCTGGCTTCATTTTCTGTATTTATATTTCAAAATAGTATTTTTCCAAATAGTGACCGATAGCCATCATGCCGTTTCTGTCTTTCCAAAGTCCTCCACTGTCTGTTTGCAACTATGGACCCTTGATCTAGTCTCTCCTGCTCTGCTAATGCCCCGTCCACCCTCCCTCCCTCTGTCCTTTCCTCCTCTTTGTCCCCACTTGGGAACACCTGCCCACTTCAAAGCTCAGTCGCAAGCCCACCTCCCAGAAGGGGTTTTCTTGGCTCCCAACAGGAGTGGGCTGTGTGTGTTCCCCTGACGAGCGCACCACGGTGGATGTGGGCCGCCCCGCAAAGGGCTTCGTCCCAACAAGAGGTGGGACAAGGTGGAAGGTGGAAGGTGGAAGGTGGTGCGGTGACAAGGCTGCACCCTCCGGGCTCAGGTGGTGCTGTCCCCGGTGTGGGCCTCACCGGGCCGCATCAGTCCTCAGGAAAGTGGGCTGTTATGGAATGAGGCCACCCCCACGCGTGGCAGCCGTGTCCCTTCGTGCCTCTTTGCCACACTGTCGAGCAGCCAGGGGCCCTCGTCAGAACCCTGCACCATGCCGTCGGGTCCTTCCAGCCCCCAGAGTCGTGAGCCAAGTCAACACTTAGGAAGTACCCACAACAGACTAAGAGAAGGGCACAGGCTGGCACTTACATCTTTATACTCTTCTCTGTCTTGGCACACGGTCATTCAACACCTGTGTGGAACAGAGTAACTACACATCTGTATTCCGGGAGGAAAGCGCTAGTGCAGAAAGAGGCTCCTGGGGTGCAGGCATGTTCACAGGAACTGCCAAGTGCACGCAGGACGCTGTAACGGCTACGCAGAGAGGACAAGCTATAAACCACAGAAGTTTACTCTGCACTGTTGGAGACGCTGAGGAGTCCAAGGCCAGGGTGCTGGCAAACTCAGGGTCTGCTGAGGGCCGGGTCTGCAGAGAGCCGCGTTCTCTGCTTCCCTGGTAGAAGGATCAGGTCCCGCCCTGCGGGTCTTTCCTAAAGGCCGTGATTCCATTCCCGAGTGTCCTGCCCCCGTGACCTGACACTTCCAAAGGCTCCACCTCCCAATACCAACCCTAGGAGTGAGGTTCCAACATACTAACCTTAGGGGACACAGACACTCAGGTCACAGTGGTAAACAGTCTTTTCAGCAGTCAGCAGTTACTGAAAGCATACCACGTGCCAGGCCCTGGGCACAGGGCCCACCACAGCCATCACCCAAAGCCTTCAGCATGGCGCTGCCCCTCTTTCTTCTTCACTTCTGGGACAGAAGCCCGGGACTCATCCTGAGCGGAGAGTGGACCGAGGAGCCCTGGCTGCAGGGCATAAAGGCTCTAACCACTGGGCAACGCTGCCCCAGGGTGAGCATCATGTGGGTCAAAGATTTATTTCCCCAATTACATTCTGCTGGGGCGAGAAGAAGATCTGACCAGGATTAAACTTTTTCCAAGGACGACCCTCAACAGAGAACAGCCTGCCCAAGGATAACAAGAGCCGACCACCACCACATACTACCCCACCTGTAATGTCCCCAGCCTGAAGCAGCTCAGAGTCAGGTCCTTAAGTCTGAATGGCCAAGCTCCAGAGAATGAATGTTATATTGGATCCCATCGTACCAAGGCTTCCTTTACTGAAAGTCACCTACACACACTTGGTGGGAAAGTAGGCCACCAAATTAAACAGTACTGGAACTATATATAGCATTCTTACACAATGCACATCATTGTACACGGGATAATTTGCACATACATAGTTCAGATATAAAACTATGCGCACGGTGCTTTCTGAGCAGTTACAGGTGTTCTTCTTTTAAAAATGGCTGACGGCAATTCTGACAGTAAGCTACTTTTGTCTTCCTCGAGGCCAGGTGAAAGCCTGTGCAGTGTGGACCCCTCACCAGGCGGAGGTGCCGGCCTATAGCAGGCACTCACACTGCAGGACCCACACTTCCGACCAAAAAGGCATCTTAGATGCATTTTGTCCGTCACTTTACTTATTTCTTAAAAAGTTACCTTTCACTATCAGCATTAAAACCTGTTCACAGCTCTCTTGAGCTATAAAAGCACCACATTATCTCATTTAAAGTACACAATTCAAGCTGGGGATTTAGCTCAGTGGTTCTGCTGCCTACCTCGCAAGCACAAGGACCCGAGTTCGATCCCCGGTACAAATAAATAAATAAATAAAAAATAAATAAAGCATAAAATTCAATGGTCTTTAGTCTATTTACAGATGTGTGAAGCCATCACCAAAATCTATGTTTAGCTGAAATCTGGCAGTGAGAAATTTTCCTGGGTGATATACCCAAGTTACAGTAAATAATAAATAATAAAATAAATAATAAAAGATCATCTAGCTACGGCAGACAGTTATGAGAAGGACGAAACAACTCAATATAATTGTCCTTGCTTCCCAAACTTTGCTTTGTTTTGGGGACACTGGGGATTGAACCAAGGGCTTTTGCATTGAGCTACATCCCCAGCCCTTTTATGTCTACTTTTTAAAATTTTGAGACAGGGTCTTGCTAAGTCATTGGCTTGCCTGGGCTGAGTGTCCTCCTGCTTCAGCCTGGCAGAATGCTGGGATTACAGGAGTACACTACCAAGCCAGACTGAAGAGGTTTTAAATCTGAATTGTTTTCGTTAGCAGCCTCAGCAGTTTAGCTCTCCAGATCTCTTCTGCAAGTCCTTGTGCCCCAGCTACACTGCCCTTCTGACCACGTCTGGGACACGGTTCTGCTGGCCTGTGGGACCCACAATGGCCCTGCGGGAGGAGCAGAGGGGCAGCCAGCCCTGGAGGGTGGAGCTTTGAAGGGTCTCTGTCCTCAGGCAGAGCAGGAGGCCTGGTGGCCACTGGGCACCGTCTAGGAGCTGACTGCAGAGAGAAAGCTGCCAGCAAGGGCTTTGCGCAAGAAGGCACACATTGAGTTTTCAACATGAAATTTCTTTCCATAACGAAGCACTGCCTCTTTCCTAAAGCAGCTCATCCTCTTGGCTGGATTCGCTCTGCACTCAGCTGAGGCAGGTGAAGCAGCACTTAGGTTAATTATTATGAACAGTTCTTATTATTTGACAAGGATACAATAAAGCTGCTTCCCAGGAATTTCTCTCATCACAATTCCCTTTTGAATCCCTTCCATCCCTAAGTAAAAGCAACAACGAGAATCCTGTTTTTTTTAACCTAGGAGATCATAGTTTGATGATAAGTGATGGTTTAAATTCAGGCCTCCTCTTTGGAAAGCAATTTGGCAATCTCTTAAAATTAAAAGTGTACACATGTTTCCAGAGCTCTTGTACTTCCGGACATGGGTCCCACAGCCACCTGCGCAGAGGTGCAAGTGTGGGCTCGAAAGCACAGCTTCTTGGGGTCCTCTGTGGCCACCAAAGGTTGCGGACATGTCTGGGCGAGCTAAGTACCCAGAGCCATCGGGCCAGCGGCCCCCGCGAGGCGCAGTGAGGTGTGCAGATCGAAGCTGAGTCAGGTGAGACAGCGGCTTGCAGCACAGTGCAGGGAGAGCCCAGAATCCACCGGGATCGGACCCCGGACCCCTGCAGAAAGTCCAAAGCTGTTTCCACTCCTTTTATAAACTGGCCTGGGATGTGCGTGCAACCTGCACACAGCCTCCTGTGTATTCTCTCTCTCTCTCTCTCTTCCTTCCTTTCTTTCTCCTTCCTTCCTTCTTTGGTGTTGGGGATTTAACCAAGGCTCTTGTGCATGCTAGGAAAGTGCTCCATTGACCTACAGCTCCAGCTCTTTCTGACACACACTTACTGTATGCAATACTCAATACCACGGCTACACACTGCTTCATTCAAATTCAAATTCTGCTTTCTGGAACTTGCTGGAATTTTTCCCCAGAATGTTTTCCACCCAGAACTGGTTAGATCTGTGAGTCAAAAATATCTGAGAAAAAGCTTGCGTCTTGTCCTGAATCCATACAGACCTCCCCTTGGCACGACTGCCTAAACAACACAGTATAAAAATGACTGGCACGGCATTTACATGGCATTAGGTATGGTCAGGAATCTAGAGATGACTACAGTATACCATGGGATGTGTGTGGGTTCCATGCAAACTCTATGCCATTTTACACAGGGAACGTGAGCATCCATGGATTTTGATATCCATGGGGGTCCCGGAACGAACCCTCCCTGACACCAGGGGACACTTGTATTTCTCAAAGGGCACCCAAGCCTCAGGGAGCAGTTGTCATCTGAGAAGTGGCTACTGGTTGTGGGGCAGAAACTTCCTTTTCCCGTTGTATGTATATCTGTATGCTTGAGCTATTTCACAACGTTTCACTCTATGAATCAGACACTGGTAAATACATGAGTTATCTAGATGACTAGAAAGGAATGACCTCACTCCATCAGAACGATGACATC